AATTTTTAATTTATTAGTAGTTGTTGATACAAACGTTTTTTTTTGACATTAGATTTGACAACTAACTAATATGTCAATCATTCCGAAGCACTACAAAATACGGAGATTTATGGCTTACAGGTAAACTCCAAAAATATAAATAAAAAAACGTAACAGATATTTCTTGATTATAGGGCGATACGAATTTCGCCGGATCTTCTAGTTTTATATAAAACTGTTTAAAAAAATCCTTTTTTAAGATACCAACTTCGCATCGTGATTAGTTAGCTCTAATTTCGAGCACACATGTTACGTATATTTAAAATTTATTTATATAGTTGTTACAAAGTCTTATATATATATAGAATGTAGAGTAACAGTTACTGATCTTTTTAATAAGTAAGATCGTATAAAAAGAACCAAAATTTAATCACATAACAAATTAGCTATAAGTTACGCTAAAACATGTTTCTTCACGACATTACAATCTAAATGTATGTACACTATACTCTTTAAGAGATCTGTTAAACTTATCAGACTTAAATCTATTTATCTATCTATCTTTTAAATCTCATTTCAAAGTGAGCGCCAAACAGCCCTAGCAACGGCATCCGCCATAAAGATTTGATAGCTGTTTTATAGTTGATCGACCATCGGCAGTTACTACCAATGTAGTTCAATTTTCCCATTCCGTTTGATTCAACAGGAAATCATAACGACCCAGTGATAGGTCTGCATAAAATAGTCGCTACTGAATTTTATTTCAATAGAATCAGAATATTCTATGCACTTAAAAACATCTTAGCATTGTAACGAGAAAATACCTTTACAACATTTTCATTTTATATCATATTTTTCTTTAAAAATATGTTGATAAGAACTACTGTTACTAATATCTTCTACTGTAGCTAAGTGGAAATGCAGAAAACATAAATCTTTTTTTGTACATAAAATTTACAATATGAAGATTCTACAACCCAAAATTTATAATTCAGTTTTATTTAATGAATGAATGAATTAAATTAAAAATAACATAATAATGGGAATAATAATAAAATTAAAGAACTTCTTATAGTCCATTAGACTTAAGCTGAGCTTTTGCATTTATGTGAGTGAAAGTAAAAGTAGAGTTAGACAAAAAACTTTTAGAATTCAAATTTAGTATATTTTAAATACATACATAATATAAGTGCTAGATCTTTTCTAGATTAAAAATAAAATAAGCAATATTTGTAGAAGGCCAAACGGAAATATTATGGAAAAAAATATTAAGTACTAAAAATTTTGATAAAACAATACAAATTTTTCTTCATTTGACATTGCATTTCCAACATTTGATGTTGCTACCAGTACAAGGGTTTTTTTGACATCACACCTACACTATCCGTGTCCACTCACCCAAATGCAAAGTTCAGCTTAAATCAAACACACTATAACATTACCTATTAAAATCAATTTGGAAAGTATTACAATATAAAAGTACATTAAAAAAGATTTTCCTATTAAAAATAAGTATTAATACTATCCAATATATATTTTTTTAAACCTTAATGGTTTATAAAATATATATTTTTTTAATATTGTTAAGCATGTCACTAAATATTTAGGAATTAACTTTTGGAATTTCCAACTTGAATCGATGTATATTATTGTTCTAAATCAATATTTTTTATGATCTTTTATTCATATATACTTAATTTAAAAAAATATATCTACATTTGTTATAATAACATTTATTATGGGAACGCTAATAGATAAAACATATTTCAAATTATAGATTGGAAATTTATTATTTTGAATTAAAATTACATGAACACTGCATAATGTAACTTTGCAAAGTAAGCAAATATTCTTTAGATTATTCAACTACAATAGAGAGAAAAAAAGTTTGTGACTGCAAAGAGGTAGCTCACTTCAATCTACTGCATAAAATTGTATACCAAAAATTAAGTTTTATTAGTGTTCACTAAGAGACATTTATGATTAGTGTAACAAAATGAAATACATAATAATAATATAGTAATTGCAATAGGTCATTTAAAGTTCTTGAAATAACTGTATATTTTGCTAGCTTAATATTTAAAGAACTGCTTACAAATCCATTTCATACCAGACCCATTATATAACATTGGATAATGTTGAAATTTCAACAAATGTTATTCATATATAATCAAGAAAATACAAAGGATATTTTAACAACGGTTTTAAAATTAATTTCTATAGAGTTGAATGTTTTCTCAGACTTACCTTGAAATTGTTTCTTCAAAAATCATCTCGGTTCATGATGACATAAGCTTTGTTTCTTCAATGCATAAATAAAAAATTGTTTAAACAAACAAAATAATAGAAATAACTGAAACTAAAAATCACAACAAACTAAGCTTTCTAACTGTCACATCCCACCTGATTTTGATTATATGACAAATGTCAGAAAGCACATTTATTTTACTGCTATGATCTGCTAAATTACTACTTGCATTATTTTCTTGGTGGATATTGTTAAATTAAAGGAATTTTAATAAAAAAAATGTATGATATGTAAATAATTAAATTTTTTGTAAATTATAATATAATTAATTACATCGAAAATTTTTTATACCACAGACTAATACTAGATAACTCGATTATTTATTATTGATATCGATTCTCTTTATATCAACAATTCTGCTGTCGTTTGTGAGGTAGAGATTTTTTATCATAATTTACTTTGCTCATTTTTATGCGTAACTACTCAGTTACCAGTTGGTCTATTCGAAAAACAAAATATTTTGTGACATTATTTGAGCTACTTAAAATAATATGAAAAAAGATTATACATTACATTAGTAAGCAAACGTTACGCAAATCATATTTAATATGTGTATAAAACGTTTAATTTCTACACTGCTTGGAATAAGCAATTATTCATGTGTTTTTATCTAGGGAAAGTAATGAAAGCAAGAAAGTAGAAAACAAAGCATAATTAAGATGTGCTTTTGCCTTTTAATCCCAACATGAGACTTAAAGCAAAACCTATTAAAGCATCACCATTGGCAAGCTGCCACATAAGGTCTAGGAACCCGCAGGTGCTAAAAATAAAATAAACTATTAAGTATTTACTTTATCGGTCATTGAATGTAAAATACTATGTTATAATATTACCTTAGAGATTAAAAATAAAAATTAAGTTTCTACTTGTTATAAATTTCTGATATGCATCCGTTGCCTTTAATAATTTATGTCCAATATTATATTTCTTAACTAATATGTTACTTAGGTCGTTGATCGTAACATTTTAATATTTTTTATATGTAAACGTAGCACGAAAATAACTGGCCGGGTGTCGCTGCGCACACGCCAGTACCTAAGCGCCGGTCGACCTACCCGCAAGTCTAGAAATAAATTTATTTCACATTAATTCAATGTGCGTTCTGGAGTGAAATATCATAATATTTATCACTATGTGACATATATATATGTGAAGGAAGTGCTGGAAAATATCCAAGGAGACCTGATGCTTATAGCGTTTACATATTCATTTGGTAATTCCAGGATTTTCAATAAAACAATGAATACCTACTTCAGATCATCCAATTTAATTTAGTTCGTGTTCTTTTAGAAATGTTTCGGTATTTTATTTGAAATACTTAACTTTTCGCTAGTTTCGTTTGATTTTGATAATATTTAAATCAGTTTTATAATTTAAAGGAGTAAAAAGTTATTGTGGTAACGAATTTTTTTTATTAAATCTTTCGTTATGAGTATATTATAGTATTATACGAAATCAGATATTTAAAAAGAAAAATTTGTATTTATTTTAATGCACATATTTTAAAATGCTGTATTCTGCGATTTCTATTTAAAACTCGCAATGCATTTTCAACGACTACAATTATTAATCTAAGAGATTTTTTAATTTTCTTCAACCTTTATCAAATCAGTTCTAAAAGCCATTAATTCTATGACATGTTTTGAAAATGTTAATCTTTTTTTAGACTTCTCAACTTAAAATTATATTTTACATGCCTCATTAAGGTTCTATAATTTTTCTTAATAATATTAGAATTATATGCATATTAATGACATAACACTTTAGTACCTTAGCCTTCTTACGTTGTTAGTTGTTTGACATAACAGAGGCTCTCCTCTTATCTATAACCAATTTCATTATTTTTGTACTCGTTAACTGAAGTAGGACTGTAATATTTGGTCAATTTATCCAACTCTTCCACTAACATTTACAAAACCAGGATTCTCTTGTCTCACTTAAAATTTCTGACATCTTTTTCGAATCGTTGATATACAATACGATAATTCCATTGATATTAGTATAACTCAAGTTCTTAATTAATTTTTTAAAGAAACTGGCCATATTTCTAAAATAAATATGCCATAAATGTATCAATAATGATTATACGTAATAATATGAACTCATCAGACACGCTTTTTTCACGATTAAAGGATCTTAAACACCCCATTTTCAAAATTTTATATTCACTTTTAATGATTTGATGTAGAAGGCACATTTTCAAATAGTTATCAAAGTTATTCTCTAAAACTTATTTTTTCATATCTTCTAACAATACACGTCCGATTCTAGTTGATTATACATACTAAATAATATAATAAAGTAAGTAGATTAAATAAAATAATTAGATTTAAGAATTTAATAAAGTAATTAGATTTAAGAATTGCATGCAGATTTAATCATTCAAAATGTTACGATATAAACTATATTCCTTTGTTGAATGATGTTGATTATTGAAAGAAGTCATTTGGAATTACAATGCTGAAGAGTTCAGTGATGTCACGATGACGTCAGCACAGCTGTCTGGTTCTGGAGTAGACATCACGACCTGGCGATCTGCCAAGATCATTCACTCAACATTTCCTTAGAAAATGGGGACGACGTTCGAATTTCTAAAGCGAATTCTATCACTCTCATTTTTATTATAGGTACTACGCTTTTGATGTCAAAGGCCAATATTAACGAAATATTTTAATTTCAGCTTCATGAGGATGACTGGTAGAAGAAACAAAAGATGAACAGTGGAAACAGAAGAGCCCTTACGGGTTCTATACATAAGATTAGAGAATTTGAACTAGAGAAAGTGAGGAAATTTATATGTTTCTATATTTACTACCACCTACGCAACTTCGTATGATTTAATGAGATTTATGTTTTAGGTATGTTTAGTTGAAGAATTCGATATACTACAAATAGTCGGTGAAGGATGGTTTGGAAAAATACTTTTAGTGGAACACAGAGCCTCGGACACAGAGATCGTTCTGAAAGCCCTTCCAAAACCCTACGTATCTATAAGAGATTTTTACAGAGAATTCCATTACAGCTTACATTTAAGTGCCAACAGAAACATCGTCACAACATTCGATGTTGCATTCGAGACTGCTGGATTTTATGTATTCTGCCAAGAGTACGCCCCTTTAGGTATTATTGGATTATTTATCTTATCATAGACTAATAACCAAAGTAAATTACTACTAAGCTATTATAATACGAGAATTTAACGCAGCTGCATACGTTTTATAATGTACACAAGCTTTGTGTTTATGGAATCATGCCAATATAGAATTTATTACCTTAATTCTTAAAACTAAATAGTTTATTTTATAGAATAACGATTTGTTTTCCATGATTTGATTACATCATTTCAAATTTTTAGGTGATTTAACATCAAACATGCTAGATACAGGGATTGGAGATATCCATACGAAACGAGTGGCGAAACAGTTAGCTGCCGCTTTAGAACATTTGCATCAAAGAGATCTTGTGCATAGAGATGTTAAATTGGACAATATATTAATATTCAAATCAGATTTTTCAAGAATAAAACTCTGTGATTTTGGTGAGACTAGAAAAGTACAATCTGTTGTAAGAAGACGAAATGAATGGCTTCCCTACTCGCCACCTGAAATATTACAGTTATCTATGGACAGTACTTACAAGTAATTTATATATTTTTTTATTTTATGCTACTTTCAAATTATTTACGTTCCACACCTAGTGGATGTTAACCTTAACTTGTTATCACTTATTATTTATTGTTTCCAAAGAAATTTAAAGTATTCAATTTGTTTCTTTCAGAGCGCTAATAAGCCATGATATATGGCAATTCGGTATTGTTATATTTATTTGTCTAACCGGTTGCTTGCCCTGGCAGAAGGCTGCTTTCGATGATCCCAGATATTTTAGGTAAACATGAAAACCTGATATAGTGAAAAATATCCAGATTACTGTTACATTGAATATAGATGCTAATTTTTATTCATTTGCAGCTATTACAATTGGTACAACAGTTCGAATCCACTTAAAAGACAACCAAAATTGTGGAAAATGGTATCCTCAAAAGCCCAAAAATTATTCAAAAAATTTATTGAACCGAGAGTAGAAAAAAGGGCTACTAATTTCGCTGAATTATCAAGGTATAATTGTGATAGGTGGGTGGCCAAAGCGTATTCGGATCGAGTTGGTAAGTTGTTGAATTTTTAAGTATATAGGTAATATAAGTAAAATATTCCAATTCTATTCTAATAATAATAATAACATATTTTTTAAGCTGGCGGAGATGTTGACGAACTCTGTCCTTCAATGTACAGTTTTCATAGTGATCCAAATGAAAAAAATATCCTACTGAAACATTTTAGAGATCACGGTATAGAAACCACAGTAGATCGTCAGGCAAAGAAACAAAGGATAAGAGAATGGATTCAGAACAGTGTTATAGAGGAAGCCGACGAAGACGTTAGTCAAAATTCTAAATAAAAAAATTTTAAACTTTTACTTTAACTACTTTATGACTATTAATATAATTGTTTTGTCTTTAGGTGGAAAGTTCACACGAACCTAGTGTTTGCGAAGACAGTGATGTAGAATTAGAAGACCGATCACGGCCCCATCCTATTGACGAAAGCCACAAGGTTACTCTTCGCTATGACACAGAGAAGCATATTAATCCCAGGACAGGAGAAATTATTGAAGGTGTTTCTCGGTCAAATAACAAAAATCAACTTTCTTATGACGTACAAAACATAGAGCCCGTGGCACCCGCAAACATTGTTAGAAAATATGGAACAAAAGAAGAATCATCTTCACATAGTTCTGCTAAAGACAGTGCTTATGGCTCTATAGAACAGAGCTATTCCAAGAATTCCGCTGTTAAATCTGAAACTAAACAGCTATCGCAAACCGATAAAATGTCTAACAGCTCTCCCAGTAGAAGCGTGTCATCTCTTCAACTAAGCAAAACTCCATTATCAACCCATGTCCAAAGGTTTCAAAAAAGTGAAGAAGTGTTTGCGGAAGAAATGAAAGGTATGATGGGTAGTACAACAACAATTAATTCTGGAGATAACTCGTCAAGGTCAAACAGTTTTCAAGTAACAAGAAATAGTTCGCTTGAGAGTGCTTCAAATATTAGCGATAGTCAAATTGAAAACGAAACTGAAAACATAGTAAAAAACAATAATCCTGTTTCAAGTCAGACAAATTCTTTTAATTGTGAAAATAATGAAGAAAGTAAAGGATCTGAACAAACTCAACCATATGTTTCTATGAAAAAATCAATTTATGAAACAGCTAATAATAGAAAGGAATCAAATAATGCCCGGAAATCAGAAAACAATGTGGATTACAGTCAAACAGAAAGTCCTTATACTTCAATGTTAAATATAGTACAAGGACAAATAAAAATAGCTCCATACGCCAAAGAAACAAATGAAAATGTTATAAAAGTTTCAGTTACTCAATATAGCCAACGTAAAACCCAAAAGTGATTGCTCAATATTGAAATGGATTAGTGATAAATAAGTTTTTTTATGTAATAAAATTGAATAACTACAATTCAATGATATCTATTTAATGTATGTAAATAAAAATCGTAAGAAAATCATTATTTATGTAATATTATAAACTGAATTATTAAAAATAAGGTGAAGTTATTAGTTATACTTAAGTTATAATAAATTCTATAGTAATAGATTTATTATTATATTATAGTAATATATTATACAGGGTGATTGGTGAATTACTATATATAAATATCACGTCCTCAAATATCGATAGTAATTCACCAGTCACCCTGTATAATAGGGAACAAGTCTTATTACAAGTATGTCGTCAAATTGCAAGCTTTTTTATTATTAAGGATGGTGTGAAACGATACCCTCCGACCGCTATGATATATAATAAAGACAAATTATTAGAAAATGAATGAATCTTTTATTATCCTTATAAATTAAAAACAATAAAAAAAATTGCTTCATAAATTCAGTAAATTTAATTTGATTGGAAAAAATTGAAGATAACAAATACTACTTTATCCGTTTTTATTTGTTAACATTAATTCAGTCATAAAAATGACATTAAATACTCAGATTTTGTATTACAAAATGCTCTGTTTTTATTGAAGTACAAAAATTTATAAAAATCGATTCCATACCACCCATAGACAAAGTTAAATTCAAATTGCTGTTGTTTTTACCGGCAACTACTCATGACAATGTCAAGATTTCAAGATATTGTCAGAAACTTCACTACCTATCTCGTTAACCGAATCTGTGAATATTCAAAATAATAATATAATCAATGGAAATTTTCTTTTTAATAAAAACGTTAATTTAAGGATACTCTTACCATATACTAGAACAAAAGTATAAGTTAATTGAATAATGCTACAAAAATAACATAACCTTTAATCATTTTCTAAGTCATTAAAACGTTTACCATGCAAAAGCTGCAAGAAAGTGTGTTTTCTATTATCAAAACTACAAATCTATCATCTGCTGTATTTAGTTTTCTGCAACCAACCGAAGAATATTCAGGTGCGTTATCATAACAATAATAAAATTGGACATTAAACGTGATTTGTAATACTCAATTATTATTTTAGACAAAACACCTCTTGGCGGAATTCTTCGGGATACTAAATATGGATGGCTCGCTCTTGGCCCTAAATTTTGTGTTGTCGATTTAAGGAGTGGATTGAAAATCGCTGCACGAACTTTTGGAAATGGTGTGAGGTAAATTACAAAATAAGCTTTAGATTTTAATCACTATATGTATATGATATTTTCGATTATTTCGTATAAATGAGTGTTCATTTTATTGGAATAAAGTTATGTATAAGAATCCAGTATGATTCTTGGTTATATGACATGTATAATTTGTTGTAGCAACAAGATAACTGTTACCAGTGTTGTGGAATTACCCACACCTCTCACTGATAACTCACAACAGCTCGTTATAAGCCTTGAGTGTGATGATGCTACTGGATTGATTTGCGTGTTCCACATTAACGGATCTCAGTTGCTCCGTTGCATTCAAACGGATGCTGTAATAACCGAACTGACAGTTTGTGATGCAATACCAAATGGACCACTTATGTGCTTTGATGGGGTCATCATGGCTGGCTCTCATAGAGGAGAGATATTTGTATTTGATCTCAATAAAGCCGCTTTGATCCAGGGTTTGTAATTTTAATATTGAAAACTATTTAAAAGTACATACAAGTTACCTTTATTTATTTTTTTATCACTGATTTTAGTTGTTCTTATTTAAGAGTCAATTCAAAATAAAGCCATTTATTAAGTTATTTTGATATCCATATTATACTATTATATTTATTTAGTAACTTTTATTACCTAAGCATAATAAATTAGTAAGAAAGAACTATTCTATAATATTGTTGTATTTTTAAAAATAATTATAGTTATGTATAGTCTTACAATATACAAAGTCCTAAATTATGTATTCAATGTTATTTACCATATTTTTAATAAAATTTCAGCACTCAAAGATTTATCTCAAGGCTATGAAGAGCAAGTGAGAGGTGAACAGAATGTGGCAAATTTGATATTTCTGCCTCTGAAAGCTGTACATAAGATTGAAAGCCAAAGAGATTTGGCTGTTGAGAACGATGATCATTTGGCTTTGTTACTGAATGAGAATTCATTCTATGATAATGAGTATATATTTTGCAACCCAGATGGCACTGTTAGAATGAAAGCTAAACAAAGTCACATAAGGACAACCGTTGTTCAATACATTCCGCAATTAGGTAACTTAGCTGTCGGTTTTAATTTTGGTGCATTCCAATTATGGAATGTTCTGAATTTGGAATTGGAATTCACATCTCAGGTCAATGTTGAATGTCTGCCAGTTACTCATTTTGGTTTCCAGGTAAAAATAAAACATATTTTTGGAACTAAAATTTTGTAATCACTATATTTTATTCATTTAAAATATAAATGTATTCTTTACAGGAACCCTGTGATGATCCGAGGGCTTTTTGTTATTTATGGGTAGTCTTTTCAGTGATAGATAGATTTGAAGAGGAAGAATTTCCTTTGGCTGTGATGTATTCTTTAACTTATCAGGGAAAGAGAATGTTGGCTGAGAGCAAATATTTATATCAGGTGACATTACCTTTTAAATATCTTTTTGATCTATTTTTCTGTTCATAATTTTATACATACTTGTTTTATTCAAGTATTAACTACTTATCAAACATTGACATATAAAATTAATTTATTATAATATATTATATATGTATAATATTAATTATTATGTATTATTGCAAGTATGCAGTAAGTCTATCTTTAGTATATAACAATAATACCTTATTCTTTCCTTTCCTATATTAAATGTTTATTCACTCATATAAATAAGTGAATGTATATGTAAAATTTATAGAGTTTTTATGTATACAGGAATTTTCCATGGCAACAATTCGTTTCCAAATAGAATTGGCGGCTATTGAAGATGTTTCAGTATATATTGGTGGTAGATGCATCTCCTGTCACACTTATTCGATCAGTTCTATATTGGGAGAAGAAGGGGAGGACAGTGAGTTATTTAATTATTATTTATTTAATTAATTATTCCACATAGAATTGATATATGCACAAAAGATGGGCTTAACATTAAAACAGCATTTTCTACCTGCCAACATGAAATGTGAAAGAAAGTAGTGAGAAACAAAAAAAAAATTGTGAAGTGCTTGTAGCTGAGCAATTTTTATAAGCCAACAAGAAATAATTTTATATTAATATATAAACATATAATATACAGGGTGACTGGTGAATTACTTTCAATATTTTAGGAGAATACTCGGTACATGATTCTCATTCGAATTATGTAAAAAAAATAGGTACTTAATTTTTGACCAAATTTCTGTATAAATAAATAAAGTGTGGACACGTTCCAAGTGTTCCAAGTGTGGACGCGTGCGGCGGCGTGCTGATACGACACCACGCCGCCGCATGCGTATGTGTGTGTGTGTGTGTGTATACCTAATCTGTAGGGTGTTCACACGATGCGTAATTAATTACATAACTTTTGGTTAACTTTACTTAGAAGTTTATTAATATTTATGTTATATTAATTTTTATTTTGTCATGTATGATCGTCAAATATCACGTCCTCAAGTATCGATAGTAATTCACCAGTCACCCTGTATAATTATATATTATATGTTTATATGAAGAAAAGTATTAATTACTGTAACTATTGAATAAAAATTAAGAGAAAAAATATAGAAAGAAAAATTTATTGTAAATATGTGTGAATTACAATATTGCCTTGTATTTGCTTTTTCAAGGACCATGAATTTATAATTAGATTTTTTCTACCTGAATTTAACAGTATATTTCTTTAATGTTAAAAAAATATATAATGATAATGCTATATTTTTTGTTTTTTGTTTCTTTTTATTTAATATTGAATGCTATTTTTCCAGCAATGCTCAACTTATGCCAGCTAGTGTGGGAATGTTGGGGTGATAACAACACAGTGAGTCAACACTGTATGTTGCTGTTTGATCTTGATCAGTGGTACAAAGACCAAATGCCTGGTAAATATGATTTTAATTATTATGATATAATTTTTTCGAGATTCAAAGGTACACATTCAATTAGAACTATATTTATCGACTTGTACTTACCTTTTTATTGTTTTACTATAAGTTTTGTCCAATATTTTTATATTTAGTTGAGTGATTACTTATAGAAACCTAGAGAAAAATAATAAATTCATAAGAAATTTGGATATGAAAAACTTAGTTTTATGTATAATTTTTGTATATCTACTTATATTATAATCTTTCAGCCACATATCGTCTGGAAAACAATGCGTTTATGAGTACCGCGAGATGTCCTGAGATAAGCCGCGGGTCGTGTCTCACGTTAGACTTGAGATTAGACTCAGATTCAGTCACTCCATACTCACACGCTACGAGACTTGAAGAACACTTCTTTCCTAATTCCTTGCAATACAGTACGTATTATTTATCATTTAATTTAGCTAAGGTATAAAAAAAAATCACTACTTATTCTCACTAGGTTAAAACATGTTTTTTATATATTAATTCTCAATGCTGCATACTACCCATCTATAACTAAATACAGCAAGGATTATTATTTATTGCTACCTTTATTTTACGTAGAATAAAAGAAAAACAATAAAACTTACTCTCATTAGTTTGTATTAATTGTGAATGCTATCAAATAGTATATAGTATATACTGCCTGTAGGACTCACTGGTCTTATATGTAAGAATAATTAGTCACTGTCTCACTACTACCCGCGCCTAGAGCGCACGTCATTCTGCTCCGCGCTAGTCGTGAGACTGCCGAGCGCATGCCGCCCCCTCTAGTGGGGTACGTGAGAGAAAGTATTATATCTATTATATAGATACAAACACTACACTTCAACAATACAATATACAACTATGTTCAGCTCAGTGTTGTAACTAGGCTTTTATGCACCCGGTGCGAGCTTTCAAAATTGCGCCCCTAAAAAATGCTCTAACCAGGCTCTAAAAACAAAATGGACAAATGTGCATACAAATAAATTTATCTAATTGTTGTTTACCAAAATATATAAGTATATAGCTACCATGCATGAGATAAAACTAGATACTAGTCTGGTCATTTCTGCGCCGTGCCTGGGCACTGCTGGCACCGCCGTAGTTACGGCACTGGTTTAGGTATCCCTATAAGTACATATATATGTTTCCAGACTGCGTGTGCCTCAGTCCGTGGTCGTCGGCGGTGGTCCAGACGGCGGGCGTGCAGCGTCAGTTGGTCCGCGGTATGAGTGCCGCGGGCCCCGCCTGTGTGCTGGCGCCCGCCCGCCTGTACGCCGCGTGTCGAGACGCCGGACTCACACCTCTGTATGCTCCTTCTGGAGACACACCGGTGAGTTTACTTGTTGTTATATATGTATGTGTGTGTGTGTGTGTGTGTGTGTGTGTGTGTGTGTGTGTGTGTGTGTGTGTGTGTGTGTGTGTGTGTGTGTGTGTGTGTGTGAATGAGTGTATTTAAATGTGTACACAAGATATAGTCCAGGATCCATGGCTGTTTTTTGCACTTGATTACTAACAAGCTAATTTTCCGTGAGTAGCTTCGTTTCATTGAGACGCCCAACTTTTTCCTTTGCGATATTTCTTGATAGTGGTTGCTAACTTAGCTAGTAGAGATAAAATATGTTGATTTGATAATTTTTCAAAATTTATTACTAACTGGATTTATTTATGTTAAATCTTATGATAATTATCTAAATTATTCGAAAAAAAAAATGTCCTACAAAATCAGTCGCGCGTACGCATTAGCCCGAGTCGGTCGCGAAATGTCAAATAAATAAAACAAAATGTCGAATACGCTAAAGTGTAATGTTTGTCACATCGTGATTGATGAACTTTTATCGTATATCCAGAACAAGGTTTCGATCGCGGATGAAGTGACCTTAGTGAAAATCTGTTCGTCTGCCTTCTCGAGCGAACAAATTGAGAAGGCTAATAACTTACTCCTGGAGTCATTAGCATCAGATATGCGTAAGACAGTACGTAAAGGAAAAGGCAAAGAAAATCGTGTGCTATATGATATCATTAATGTGTTTAAAATTACCGAACCCGATGCATTACCAATTTTCGTGGCACGAGATTTGGAGAAACTACCCCCAATTACCTTTGATCATTTGGATGTCTCAAAATTGTTAAAAGATCTGTTGTTAGTACAAGCTGAAATAAAAACAATCAAGTCATCCTATGCAACTGTGGAGCAGCTTGTGGATATTAAACGAGAATATCTTGGCAGAAAGATTACATCGCCCCCGTTCTCAGCGGCTAAAATTAATACGAAGAGGGGTGGCTACCGAGACAGTGGTTCGATTGGGTTGTCTTACTTGGACGATAATGTAATAAATTGTGAACAGTCTAGTAGTGGAATATTATCGCCAACTAATTACGACCCGAATTACAGAGATTTGAACTTGAATATAAATAATTTAGAGGGTAGTCAAACACAAACCCGACGCAAAATCTTACGTTATGCGCCCGGACGATACGATGTTAACGGAGACCGAAGTTTAAAACCGGTCGACGGGAATGAGTCATCCTCGATAAACAATGCGAGCGGTCAACATCCGAAGATAATAGAAAAACAAACTTATGCGTCACAGCTTAAGAGCGATAATACTAATGAGGGTTGGACTGTGGTACATAAAAAGTCACAGAAATCAAAAAACCGTTTTATAGGTAAAATGGGAAGCGTAATTGTAGAATCGGAAGAAAAGTTTAGAGCTGCCGATCGTAAAGTACCGTTATTTATAACTAATGTTCATAAAGACACATCGGAAATTGATATAATTACGTATATAAAAAATAAAACAAAGGAAGAAGTCAGCCTAGAAAAAATCGTAGTCAAACGTCATTGTCAATACGATGCATACAAACTGTTTGTATCTCAAAGTAAGCTGGCAATGTACCTAGATGAGAAGCTATGGCCGCGGGGAATTATTTTTCGAAAATTTGTACACTTTAAGCCAAAACAAGTTACTGAGACACCGATTACGGCTGAGATTACGAGAAGCAATCAATCTAATTAATAAATGGCTACGAATCTTATATGTAAACTAGTTTCCTTTAACTGTAAAAGTGTCAAACGTTCTGCACACTATATACAAGAGTTATGTAAAAGTTGTGATATAGTAGCTTTACAAGAAACGTGGCTTTTACCAGAAGAGTTGTCCTTTTTTGATACGTTAAGCGACGACTTCAGCTCCACGGGGGTGTCTGCAGTTGATACCTCTGCAGGTATTCTACGAGGAAGACCTTATGGTGGTGTCGCGCTGCTCTGGAGGCGTAGTGTGTTTCAGAATGTGTCTGTGGTTGAGTGTAACAACTCGCGCATATGTGCGATAAGCGTAGTGTTAAACAGTAAATCATTTTTAATTTTTAGTGTGTATATGCCTACGGATACAGTGAATAACTTAGCGGATTTTACAGACATACTAAGTTCGGTAAGTGCAATTGTAAACTCTTACGGAGAGACCTGTGTTTACGTCTTGGGTGACTATAACGCCCACCCGTCAGAACGGTTTTATAACGAACTTATTCAGTTTTGTACAGAACAGAAATGGTGTTGTATAGACGTGGATGTGCTCGGCCCTCAGTCGGATACATTTACATTTTTAAGTGAGGCTAACGGGTCAAAACGTTGGCTTGATCACTGTGTGGTCACTGAGGCTGCTAAGGAATCTGTTTGTAACGTTTTTGTTTTAAACGATGTGTTGTGGTCAGACCATTTTCCTTTAGTTTTGGAATGTAATTTAAATACACTATTGTTAACGAAATCGATCCCTAACACCTCTCCGAGTTTATTGCGTTGGGGAGAGAGAAGCGAAGATGAAATTAACACATACCGAGGGGAATGTCACAACCGGCTGACTTTGATCGACTTCCCGCATGAGCTTCGCGACTGCTATGGCCGTACATGTAACAACTCAAAGCACAGAGATGTCATTACACAAATGTATAGTAGTATAGTTCAAGCGTTGGGAGAGGCCGCCGCGGTGACTCGTAGAAATAATAATTGTGTTAGGAAAAGGAAAATTGTAGGATGGAACAAACACGTAGCTGAGGCACATGGGAGGGCGAGGAAAAAGTTTTTGTCATGGCTCGAGTCGGGTAAACCTGCCGTAGGTAAGGTTTATAATGAAATGTGTGAGGCCAGAAAAATTTTTAAGTCTCGTCTAAAATGGTGTCAAAACCACGAGGAGCAAATTAAAATGGACATTCTGGCCTCATGTCATTCTAAGAATAACTTCCGCGGATTTTGGAAGGCTACGAATAAGATGAACTTTCGGCCTTCCCTTCCCGTGAGCGTCAGTGGCGTGTGTGAACCGGAACAGATTTGTAATCTTTTTATGAAACATTTTTATATAAGATCGCCGCGGGGGCCTTCTCTATCGTTGGTTAATGTTGAGGCCGACAGGGATATGGGGATTGAGTTTAAACCACATGATGTCGCGAAGATTATATCACATATGACTAAAGGTAAATCCCCGGGACATGACGGCCTCAGCATTGAACATCTTAAGTATGCTGGCCCACTTCTGCCTCAGGTTCTTACAAAGTTTTATAACGTTTGCTTGAGTCACAGTTTTATGCCCGCCGAGATGATGCGGACGATCGTTGTGCCTATCGCGAAAAACAAAACCGGTGATCTAGCTGATAAGGCCAATTATCGACCAATCTCTCTGGCTACGATAGTTTCTAAGGTATTGGACAGCATGCTAAATAGCCAACTAAACAAATATATCAGCTTGCATGACAACCAATTTGGGTTTCGGCCTGGATTGTCCACGGAGAGTGCCGTCTTGGGCCTTAAGCATGCTGTCACATACTATACGAAACGAAGAACTCCTGTCTACGCCTGTTTCTTAGATCTCTCAAAGGCATTTGACTTGGTATCGTATGATGTATTGTGGCGGAAGATGGAGCGAGCCAATATGCCGCTTGAACTTATTAATATCTTTAAATACTGGTACGGTAGTCAGGTCAACTATGTTCGGTGGGCGGGAGTTTTGTCGGATCCGTACGGTTTGGAGTGCGGTGTGAGACAGGGAGGTTTAAGTTCGCCAACCCTCTTTAACTTGTACGTGAACGACTTGATTGACGAGCTTAGTGGCACTAGGGTAGGTTGTCATGTAGATGGAATTTGCGTTAATAACCTTAGTTATGCTGACGATATGGTTCTATTAAGTGCTTCAATTTGTGGCCTTAGGAAGCTGTTAGAAATATGTGAGGCTTATGCTGGAAAGCACGGTCTGATTTATAACGAAAAAAAGAGTGTAGTCATGGTCTTTGAGGCAGGGGGTAAAGCACCGAATATAACACCGCTAATTATGCTCAATGGAAATAAGCTTCAACGAGTGTATCATTTTAAATACCTTGGGCATGTGTTGACACCCGGCCTTAAAGACGATGCCGATATTGAGAAAGAAAGAAGGTCGTTGTCTGTGAGGGTGAATATGCTGGCTCGCAGGTTTTCACGTGCTTCGACGAGCGTGAAAATCACTTTGTTTAGAGCCTACTGCACAAGTTTCTATTTATCCAACCTGTGGGTCAGCTTTTCACAGAAATCTTACAACGACCTTCGAATTCAATACAATAATGCGTTTAGGGTGCTGCTGGGGCTGCCTCGGTTCTGTAGTGCGTCGGGAATGTTTGCAGCAGCGCGGGTTAATTGTTTCTTCGCGACTATGCGCATAAAGTGTGGCTCGTTACTACAGAGACTGCGGAGCAGCACCAACAGCATCCTAAATATGATATGTAATAGGCTAGATTGTTTATATGTAAACCATTGCTGCGCCATCTCTAGTGGGATGGTGAAGTAATGATAAATACTAACGTAGTTTTTAAGTTTTATATTGTTACTAACAAATTGAGTCTTTTGTTGCTCGAATTTTAAATTAAATAAATAAATAAATAAATAAATAAAATGTATGGTTTGATCGATGAATCCCCCTCCTTTCAACATGTATCGATAACGAGGTCATCACAAGTGATTACTAACCAGCTGATTTTTTTTTTATTTACTTAGTTAATATTTATATAATTTACCAGTAACGAAGTAAATGAAACGAAGCAACTCACGGAAAACTAGCTTGTTAGTAGTCAAGTGCAAAAAACAGACATGTATCCTGGACTAATATGCGCGTGTACTCATTTAAATGAAAGTAATATTTGCTGATACTACATACGTGTTTTTTCTTATTATTTTATATCCACATAATCCCTACGTTAAGTGTTACTTTTTTATGTTTGTATGTGTACATATAATGACATCTAAAATTTTTGCATGTACACATTTAAATGAAATTAATATTTTTGGATACTACACTTTATTTATTATTCTATATCTATATAACCCCGACTTTAAGTGTTCGTAACTTTCATCTCGTCTGCCCGTGATCACGGTTACTGTGCGAACCGAATACGAGATCACATGAATATAAAGTAATAAAATAAAACACGTGGCACCCTAAAGACTTAGTTTCTTTTTAATGTTTACATTGTAATGTTCGTCTATGATACTAACGTTTCTTCGTGGATAGGAATGTGTGTACATTTTAAATAAAATGGATGTACTGACGTATCTGTAAATTAGAAAGTAACTGAAATAAATTGTGAAGAATGTATTTGATATGTAAAGCTATAAGGTAAAGTCACTAATGCCAGACAGTGACCTAAAGGATGACACCTTCGAAGGAATGTTCTTGTATTAAGAACAATTTTAGTAAAATGATTCTTATTACAATATCGTAAGATGTCTAGACCTATCTTTGAATTAATCTCAAAACATCCCAACAATTTCTAAACGAAATTTCAAAAATATCGTTAGTTTCTCTCAAAGACGTAACGGAATGAGCGCTCGTTCCTTGATTTCTTATTTTTTTAGTTAAGGACGCCGAAATTTGAAGGTGTATTTTGAACCGATATTTAATAAAAAAATGCTTTTTATTCATTTGTCAAAGTATCAATGAGGTGTTAAGATAATGTTAAAAGTGCTTTTCTTGTGTTTGCTAATATTTATCTAACAAATTATGATGTCTACTATTAGTTCCAAAAAATAATGAAAATCTAATAGTTGACTGGCGTGTCATCTATTGGTGTTGCCCAATATCAAACTATTATGTTACGTTCGGCACGATTTTGGACTCTATTTCCAATGAAAAGATTACTGTAGAGATATCAGCTTTTTTGGATCACTGTAACTAAAGGTAGACATGGTGTCTATTATTGGGTATATGTGATGTCAATTATTGGTTCTAAGGTTCCAGACTGATAATTATGCCACCAATAATAAGATAGATGTTTCGTTACTCTGAGGCTGATATGGAAGCCGCTATTCAAGAATGCAGACGAGGAGTTCCGACATCAACTGCTACAAAAAATTCGTTGTACTGATGGTAACACTGCTGAATAAAGTAAAGGGAAAACACCAATAAAACGAAAAATGGCTAGAACATGCTACATCTCTGATGATAGAATAGCTTAGCTTGTAGAGTGGGCTAAAGCTATGGTGAACTTAGGAATAGTTAATAACTTCAATATTTGATATTAATGAATCACTTCAATAAAAAAATTACAAGATAGTGTGAAAAAAATTGTTGATGATTTGAATTTAGAAACTCCTCTTAAAAATGGTAGGCCTGGTAAAAGATAGTACAGCAGTTTTTTATAGTGGAACCCAGACGTAATCCATGGACAGCCTCAGAATTTAATTCCATCTAAATTTTAAGTCCATGTCAGGTATTAGTGCATTTGACTGTCTACTATTGGTAATTTTCGTTTTTGTGATGTCATCTATTAGTGGTTAAGACAATATATATTTTTTTATTGATAATAATTTAAAATAGTTAATTATTGAAAATTTTATTACTTAAGATAATTTTTTAAGACACACTGTGTTCCTATAAAAAAGCTGGAATTGTTTTCTTTAATAAATATATAATTATGGTTATTTAAACATAGTGTTTTCCTTAAAGTGTCGGGCATTAGTGACTTTACCTAGGTTAATTGAAGAAATTCTCTCTATTTCCAGGAGGATCAACGTCGATTTCTTCTATCCGTGGCGTTAGAAGCGAGGCTGTCAGCGTTTCTGAAACGATGTGCTCACGACTGGGCTACAGGGACCCATAGTGGGGTCGGATGTACATTGCCTTTTTTGGTAGGATATTATAGATAACTATAAAATAATAATGAACAATATTTTTTTGTTTATCTTGGTGCTTAAAGTATATTTTAATCGTAACTTATTTATGTGCTTGTGTTTAGGTGGATTGGTCGTGGAGTAGAGCTATTGAATTGAAAGAAAACGCTAAGGAACTGACTGCGCCGCTGTTTACTTCCTCTATGATGCCTGATAGGTATATAATTCAATTTATTATATAATGTAAAACTAGTTTTTGCCCGCGACTTCGCCTGGGTTCGTTTGAGAATTAGAAATATATGGCAGACCGGGTGAACTCGATTCCTCCTTTAAGATAGAAGATAAGAAGATTTTGGATTGGATCATCTTATTTTTTTTCTTTTTCAATCAGATAAAAGTATCTTAATTCCTATGCCCTTTCCATCATTCTAAGCTAACTCTCCACCAATTTTCAGTAAAACCCGTACAGCCGTTGTTGAGTTATAAATAGTGTAAATAACACGACTCTCTTTTATATAAGGTAATATTTAATTGCCTATCTCTTCATTTATAGGAATGTTATAAGATGTCTGGAGCATTGTGTGCAACAACTGAGTCAACTAACTGGTCTGTTAGACGCTATCCTTACTAAATGTTGTAATTTGGTTGTGCCAGATGGTAAGTTATATTAAAATATATTCCTTATTAAGAAATATATAGAAATAATGATATAGGATCTATCTTTACTATAGATCATTAATAAATTATCGTAAATATGTTATATTAACTTTTATTATTTTATTTTTAATTCCAGCATTAAGTGAAATGGAAGAAAAATATAAAGGTATAGGCACAGTGTCATTATACTTCCAAGTTGTACAATGGTTTGTCAGGGTCGGCTTGTTGCCTGAGAAGAGTTCGGACAGACATTCACACACACTACCCTACCCAGTGCATCAGTTGTGTGAGATATATAACAAGCGGTTAGTACATATATACTACATATTATATGAGATATTTCAATAACATACATATAAGAAACAATAGTCTATAATGTATGCAGTGGACAATGATTGAAGTTACAAACATAAATCTCTAATCCAATAATAACCATAATTGTATGTACTTTTGTAAACTTCTTATACTATAAAATCTCGTTTAATTACTCTGCCCTAGAAATAAATCTATGTATTAGATAGTGCTGTCATAAATTTATATTTATTGGTTAATAAAATCCTCTTCTGTCATTTCGAAAGATCTTGTTTGTTTATTTAATTACAAATTAATAAGAAAACGGTTTTGATTTTTTAAATATGTTATCTGGTATTGGGAATTTGGTTATTATTTATATTTGTAGGTAATCATTTTTTGTTTTTCTCAGTCGCATTAAGCTCAACCGTCTTCAAAACAAATCGGACGACGAGTCGAGCAACGAGTCGTGTTCACTTCTGTACATAGACCAACTCATTGAACACGAATTTGGTGGGGATAGAGTGCATCAGTGAGTATATACATTATTAACACATTTTTGTATGTATATATATATGATTCAAACAAAATCTGTAAAAAAATTAGTTTGCATATAAAGCCTTTACTTGTTAAGACATTAAAATATTTATTATGTCAAACCAAAACATTTTATATAACTTAAATTCAATTTACGAAGACAATCACAAATTGCTTCGATATATGCTTTTACGTGTGTACAAACCAAATGCTTCATCGCTTTAATGACACTTTGGGTGCGTTCCGGAGAATTTAAGGTTCGATTTATATGTGCGTTGCCTAAATATATATATATATATACATACATCTCAATAAATCATTTGTTATCATAACAAGATCATTTCGCTGTACACAAAATGTAACACAATATGATGGTGAACTATTTAATGATGAAACTAATATTTTCGGATTTTACTTCGCGTTTTATTTTTTGATTAGAAACTACATACTCCCGACATTTCGGTTACTTTTCAGCAAGTTGGTTGGTTTCAGTTGGTCCAACTGACAGACACTCACATCTCGTCTGCCCATGATCACGGTTGCTGAAAAGTATCCGAAACGTCGGGAGTATGTAGTTTCTAATCAAAAATAAAACGCGAAGTAAAATCCGAAAATATTAGTTTCATTTAAATGAGTACTCGCGAAAATCTTAGATCTCACTATTTAATAATTTTAACCTGGAATATACTCTTGTTCAAGAAATATTGTTCATTCCAGACTATGGATGGTGTGTGGTTCCAGCGGGGGTCTCTACCCTCCTCCGTCTCTATTCTCCCTCTTAAGACTCTACTTATTACCGGATGTTCCTGAAGAACACAAACACTCTCTCCTACTCTACTTACTCCTGGATTATTCTATGATCTATGACGACATGCGGTATATTATTTTATTATTTACAATTTGAGGAATTGTTTTATTTATACCTCTTACTTATTTTTCTTATTAACTAAGTAGTAACTTAGTAGTCCAAGTGGACTACTAGAATTTTTTATGATATCAAAAAAACCATTTTTGGTTTACAAAAACTAATTTGACTGATAATAAATAATGGTGTACTGCTATTAAAAAAATACGAGTTCTCTCCATAAATATATTTAATATACATATAATTAAACGGTAAATTTACCTATATGGATTCACAGTGGAATGTTTTATTGCATCTAAAATGATAGTAATGTGTTTATTTCCTTTCATGAAAAATAAAGATTTTCAGGTGACTTAATATAGTAACATATAATATAGATACTCTTTAATTGAACCTCATTATATGTTGCAGAATAAATTCTATTCCAATAATTTAATTTGTAAGCTACCTGCACTCATTCTATTATATATACTAATATTAAACAATATTTTTTTCCAGTCATGAGTCTGTGATACGTCGTTTGATGCAGTTCCCGACTATGTTCGGTCTCAGCAACACTGCTATTAAAGCCACACAAGCCTTCTGGCATCTCGACCACAGAGACTTTGATGTAAGAAATATTGATATTGAATAATTTAATTGACTGAACAATTTTTATCCTTATTTTTGCTTAATTAAAACTAATATTATTTAATGTAAAAAAAATTTTTTTTTTATCTCATCTGTCCGTGATCAAGGTTGCTGCAAAGTAACCGAAACGACAGTAATATGTAATTTAAAATAATAAAAACGCGTCATGATCTGAAAATATAAGTTTAAAACATCATTATCTAATCTACATAATAAATAAAAATCAATTATTTTTCAGTTCGCTCTCGACCAACTTCAATGTCTAACTGGCAACACTCTCTCCGACTGGCAACACCACGTGGTTCTGTCATCACTACTGGCGCAGAAGAAAACTCAATCAGCATTACAATACTTACACGTTAGAAAACCGGCTCCGATACATGTTAATGATAACAACGATTATGATAAACTAGACGACTGGCAAACATCTTGCAACCTGTACTTGGCGCGGGGACTAGTGTTTGAAGCTTTGGATGTTATAAGGATGTGCGTGGAAAATGCCGGCTCTATCGAAGATAAGACGCAGTTATTGAACTATTTCTATAAAGGTATGTGATGTATAAGGAACTTAATTATATACTTTATATAAGGTCAAAAAGCTCGTGGAATGGGGGGTAAAAAGTAACTAGTAAGAAACAAAATTCAGAATATTTTTTCCTTCTCGATGTATTCTTTATTTCTGATACATTAATAAGATCAATCAACTAATTAATAACTTCGAAAAAAAAAATGTTTTGTCTTTGTCGCCGAAATAGGCAGAAATAACGCTGATCACCTCTTCATAGCTGGAAAACTTCTTCTCTCGAAATTCTCTTTTCATTTTTGGGAATAAATAAGAATTACTTGGGGCTTAATCTAGACTGTAGGGATGATGTTCGAAGATTTCAAACCCCACCCACCTTTAAAATGCCAAGATGACTGTGTAAGATATTCAAAATGGTTGTAGCTGACACTCCTGTCATTTCTGCAAACTCTGCCTTTTGCTTGAAGAGGTTGTGTCTCTTACAAACCATTGTTTTGGCAGGTCAAGAGTCTGCGTAAACAAAAGACATATCTTCCAAAATAATTTGAATATTTTTTCTTGCTTTTTATGAAACTTGGTATTTATATCCGTTATGAATGTGACAAGTACAGGAAAAAAAGTGTCTTTTATCGCCTACCATATCTCCTATTTCGCGGTCTTTTTGATCTTTCTATGTACTGTATATATATATATATTTCTCATGTAAAATATTGTTTGTTGTTGTATTTAAAAGTTACATAATTATTTTGAAATTATTATATATCCATATATTTTGTTAGAAATGAAAATACGTTATGATTTTTAAAACCAACGTTCGCTGGCCAACGGCCGATTTATTAATATACAAAACAGACCAGACAGACCTTTCGCACTTGTCAATAGTTGAGAACAAAAAGTGTCAGATTATCAATAATGGCGCTCCTTATATAGGTGGCTTGAAGGTTGATACTTTAATAATAATTGATTCCCATATATATATAAGTTGTATATGTATAATATTTGTTGTCTATAGGCTGTAAGAACAGCGGCCAGCTGTGCAAGGTGCTGCAGGTAACGTTGCTGCCGTTCGAGGAGGAAGTGTTCATCAGATATCTGAAGGACTGTAACGAGTCCCACACATCAGACATACTCGTTATGTACTACTTGCAACAGGCGAGGTGTGTTTACAATATACTTATACAGGGTGACTGGTGAATTACTATCAATATTTAAGGAGAATACTCGGTACATGATTCTCATTAGAATTATGTAAAAAAAATAGGCACTTAATTTTTGACAAAATTTCCGTATAAATAAATAAAGTGTTGACACGTTCCAAATGTTCAAGTATGGACGCGCGCGGCGGCGTGCTGATACAACACAACGCCGCCAAACGCGTATGTGTGAGTGTGTGTGTATACCTAATCTGTAGGGTGTTCATAGGATGTGTAATTAATTACACAACTTTTGGTTAACTTTACTTAGAAGTTTATTAATATTTATGTTATATTAATTTTTATTTTGTCATATATGATCGTTAAATATCACGTCCTCAAATATCGATAGTAATTCACCAGTCACCCTGTATATTAGAAGATATTCACTTAACTCGGCGGGAAGCGCACCCCATATACCATCACTGACTGTGGCTATTGGGTAAAAAATACCACAATATATAATGTAAGAACTAAAGTTATTTTATGAATAATTAAATATAACTAATTTTTAAATTATATTGTGTTACATTTTCAATTAAACAAGACCGTTGGAAACTAATAAACGCTTGGTATAATATGTAATATTTGAGATTTTAAAACATAGCCCAAAAGTTCAGTCATTTTGAGCACAAAACGAAATATTTGCGAGTGTGGCTGGAGGGCTCTTTCCTGTTGTTTATTCGGAATATTATTATTTTGCTCGCCATTACCACCAAGTAAAAGTATTATTTTACTTTTCATAAATGTATGTAGGCAGGTTTAAGATGGTAGATTTACACTTAATTTGTGCAATACAAGAGACAACACCTTCAAGTAATCTCTTCTAGGTCTCTTTCGTCAGGATTTTCTTTATTAGTCGAACCGTCGAACATCCGTTGAAAGGTATCTAAAACGGCGCTGCACAAAATTACTTACAAAAATAAATATGTATTTTCGAAAGTATGCACTATGTGGTAAATTTTACCCGGTAGCGCCTCCCGCCGAGTTAAAATAGCTCACTTACTCTTTTCTTAACAATCGTTTTAAAATTGTCTTATTACTTTATTTCTTGCCATATAGTAGATTCCACATACAAAAAATATATATGTATTACTCGAACAATAATATTATCTTCAGCAATATCACATATACAAATTGTCATGTATAAACTCAGTATCCGTATCTATTTTCATTTATAAAATCAATTGCATGGAATAAATTAATTAACCCATAAATGAAATTCTTTTGCCAATTAAATTTGCTGTTTTGTTATGACTGATCAACTCTAGAATCTTAATTTCTTTTCTTTTTGTATGTATATATACTTAATGAATTTTAACTAACCTTAATTCATTGTAAATGAGCAAACTACTTACTATACGAATATAACGTTACTACAAACAAGCCTTAGATTTACAAAAGATACAAATAAAATTCTGAAAGCGACTTTAAATAATCTCAAACGTTTATCTATGAACAATTTTTTTACTACAGTTGAACCTGAATAAGCGAAAGTCCAAGGGAACACAATCTTTATTATCTTATAGAGATTTCAATCTAACTCGAGTTTCTCAATAACAAGTCACATTCGCATCACAAAATCAATGATCCTGGCTATTACTCTCACTTATAGAGTTTTCTCACTCATCCAGTTGTCACTTATCCAAGTTCGACTATATTTATCTCACTCATTAAACCCAGGTACCTCGAGGCGGAGCAATATAACAGTAAGCTGAAGACTCGTCCCGACCAGTCTGACCGCGGGTCGGCGCGGGACGCGCTGGTGGCGACTCTGTGTAGGGACCTGCCTGACGTCACGGGAGATGTACTGAGATGTGCCATGAATGAGGTGGAGCCGAGGAGTTAGTACTATATATTATATATTACATTGAGATACAGTGTTGCCTTACTATAGAGATACAGTGTTGCTATATAGAGAGTTTCTATACTATATTAAATATTACATTTACTAGCACCATTACTATCGTTTTGCATTGTTGAGCTATATAAAGTTTCATTAATTTTCACTTATAAACCGTTGTACAGATAGTTTAAAAAATTGGAAACCCTCCATGTTGAGTTTGACGATGAGAATTTATGGTAGGGGTTCTTACACTTAAAGTTAATGTTAAGTGAACACATTGTTATCTGAGATACCAATGAACGAAGACAATTTTGTTCAACGATAAAGGATTGTATAAAAGCTATTTTTGAGTTTCTACAAAGAGAATAAGTTTAAAAAAAACGAGTAAGATCACCTAAAATAAATGAAAAAAACTTTTTCATACTTTTTTATTTTCTATTGCGTATTACTTGTTTTTTTTTAATTTTTTAATTTTTTTTTGATAATTCAGTAATTCTTAACTCTGGGCTTCAAATTGATTTTTTTTATTCTGATATGATTTTAGTTAAAAATGCAACTGTTTCAAAAATCGTTGGCGTCATAGGATTATTTCTTGATGCCTTATCTTTTAAGTAGGTTAAGCTAAAACCTTATATAGTATATATTTTTATCTTATGTTGCTCTAATATTAAATACGTGTTTATATTTAAAAAGTGTTTTTAGTAACTGTATATAACTTAAAGCGAAATGATAACTTTGTGACATATAATCATTTTATTTTTCGTTACAGTTTTCAAACCGAAGCCTATGTCAGTATATGTTCAAGCAAATTCCCCGAAGAACACCTTCACATACAAGTCATCGTTTATACAAGTGAGTGAGAGTTGCATTTGAATAATATGAAAATCATATTATTATTTTCTTTATAAATAAGGCATAGTTAAATCTAAGGAAAGTATGAATGTCACAGAAGAGACGTAATTTGTTTTTAACTTAAAAAGAATATACATAAAAAAATTATAATGAATAGTAAAATATCATTATTAAATAAAAAAATATTTCGCAGGATACAATTGAAAACGCCAGTGAAACGTGGATAAATAAGCCCAAGACTAGGAAGGGCATTAAACGAGCCCTCAACATAGAAGAGACTCCGTTCATTTGTACTCCTAAGGCGTATAAAAGCAAGAGGTATTATTGGTTATATTTAATAATATTAACTGAGTGAATCTTGCTAACTCACCAAATATCGTACCAAATATTAGTTGGTACTTTTAAAAGATTAAAAATATGAATTTTGTGAACTATACTATAATCGTTTAATCTTTTTTTTTTTGTTTGCAATACAAACCAGTAGGTCATTAAAATTTTAAACCTGGTTAAGCCTCAACCTTAGTATAAATGACAAAAGTAAAACCAAAATAAAAAAAACCTACTAATTCACGCCTGTATATATACTATGTAAATTGCTTTTTTGTTATTTTTCTATATGCGGCAAGTAAATTATACAAACTTATTATTACAGCGTTCTACAAGAGAAAAGTGAGAGTACACCGGCGAAGCGAGCTAAATTGGATCTTAATAGCTCGGGAAGAACGCCCAAAATGGCTCACAGGGCCAACGACAGTGTTAGCTGCCAAGTGGCGCGCCTGCTACATATGCCGGACTTGGAAAGCCCTCACAACTACCCCACTAGGACAGATACACCACAAAGCATACTCAAGGTAAATTTATACACAATAAATTAATAAAACATTGCTTTTTAATAATTTTCTTCACTTAAAAAAAATCGTAACGCTACGTTACGGTTACTTTTGTAATAACAGTTTTCAAAGCAAGCAACGTTGGGTGTAAAATATAAAACATTAATTAAATAAGGAAAACATGTTTATATACACATAAGTTGTCTAGTCTTATATAATAATATTACCATGTAATTATGTACGTGTGTTGATCCTCAGTCCCGTCCGTCATCTCGCCGTGGCACCACGCCTTATGACCACGACCACAGCGACCACAGTGACCACGACGATCACGACCACGATGAACACAGGTCACATGACATTCATTTTTTATATTGACATATCCATATTTATTCATACATTCAAACAATTTCCTTTGAAGACAATTATATATCATCAAAATAACAAGTATAACCTAATTATATTACGATACACGAAACAATTAAGACCTAATTAAAATGTTGGATAGTAATATATACATATTTTAAAGAAAATTATTACGTACGGTACTTTTTGCGTTCACATTCAACACTTATAAATAACTACATCAGAATAAAATCGTTGCTGTATATGTAATTTAATAAACATGAACTTTATTTCCAGGCATTTAAGATTCACAATACCGACGTCGTCCGAGACAGGCTCTACGCCGTCACCTGTAGCATTGCCCTTGTACGCAGAGAGTGAAGCAGAAAATGTATGTATTGAGGAATAATGATATTATGAAAATACAGTACAACACTCCATAGTCTAGTCCTGGACGTGTAAGCCATTAATATAAACACCGTAAACAAATTTTCCATACTAAAATAAAAGTACAAACTCGATTAACCGGACTAATTATTGTCGATAGTCATTCGGATAGTCAACGTTGGCCTAATTGTTAGAGGGCCCGTCTCTTGTTGCCGAGGGCGCGGGTTCGATCCTGGCCCGGGCAAGTACCAATGTGATTTTTCCAAGTCATTTGTACTTTCTGAGAATATTTAGCCATCACTGATTCCCAAAAGAGGGTTGATGTCAGGCAAACGGTCGGTTGTAAAAACAATTAGCCAAAACTATTCACAACATGTAAGGCAGACCCTGGCTATAACCGGGAAATTGCCAGGTAGAAGTCATTCAGATAACCGAAAATCCGGATAATCGAATGTATGAAGAAAAGCCGGATTGGTGCATATGTAGTATTTAGTTAATTTAAAAAATTAATAAAGACATATCAACGAAAATCAATGTTTATGAATAAATAATTAAAGGATACATTTTCTTGGATTACATATACATACATACACATGTATGTACTAAAAACTGCAGATTTTAATCATGAAATAAAATAATAAGTTTAATTTGCTTTAAATATTTGGTAATTGTCATTTGACGTAGGTACGCCACTCTCAACAACACTACTCTCTTACGCTTTGACATATTTTCTTGTCCGGACTTGTCCGTAGTCCGGATAATCGCGAATCCGTATAACTGAGGGCCGGATAATCGAGTTTCTACTGTAATTGATATATATGTGTTTGGATAATATTTGGATATATTCATTCAATGGATTGTTGAATTAAAATTATTGGTAGACGTTTCTTACCTGAAAAAAGTGATTGGACTTTTTTTCAATCTATGAAGAATACCCAAGTATAAATATGTATGAAATATATTCATACTTATACACTTATTACATAGTCCAAGCAATTAGAATGAAACAATGAGACAATTTAAATATGTTATACATCAGTGTGCTTACATAAGATTGCATCTTCACACTACACACTTAGCGTTTCGAGTTTGTCATTCGAAAACAAAGCTGTTATCATAAGTTTATACTAAAAACATTACCTTATTACTATTTCCAATGATATTTATATTAAATAATTTTCCTTTAAGAACGCAACCCATCCTCTCGAGTCTCCGCCTAAGAAATTCGCGGCCGAAGATATATCTCCCAGGAAGTCTTACAAGGATAACGTTCGTGCGAGGTAAAACATATTCTTTTATATCATATGATAATTTTTTATATCTAATATGAATAATTCAATAAACTTTTTCACATTTATATCATTGTTGCCACTACTGGTTACCATTCAACTAAAAGTTCAGCAAAACGTTCCCTGTATAATTACTACTATTTTTTTCCTTATACATATTTTAAACTTAATATTGCTTAAATGTCATTCAATCTGTTGACTGATGGAAATGAAACTTTATATAGTGAACACATTACTTGAGTAACTGAAACATTTATATACAACCTCATGTTTCTTATAATTCTGAAACATGTATTTTTATCCAACCTTACATTTAATAATTCTCCTCTACTTTTATATAACTAATGAATAATAATGTATTATTTCCAGACGTTCCTTATCTATATCAGCGAACAGCAGTCTATCAGAAGATCCGAACACTTCCATAGAGAGTATAGCGGATATACCGGTGACACTCATCAACCCGAGATATACGGGAGAGAGATACACTCGGGATAGTGAGAGAGATAGAGATATGAAGAGCGAGAGAGATAGAGATACGAAGAACGAGAGAGATAGAGATACAAAGAACAAGATAGAAGATCACACCGAGACGAGAGATACGTCTTATGTACCGAATACACCTAAAGGAAGGCGAGCGATCAGGAGTGATACACCACTGAGCGGGTAAATAAAATATAAAATTCCTTCCTTCTTCCTTTCAATTTCCCAGCTTTAGCCAGGGTGTGCCTTACATGTTGTGAATAGTTTTGGCTAATTGTTTTTATGACCGGCCGCCTGCCTGTCATCAACCCTCTTTGGGAATGCATTAATCAGTGATGTCTAAATACTCTTATAAAGTACAAATGACTGGGAAAAATCACATTGGTAGTTGCACGGGCCAGGATTAAACCCGCACATGAGAGGCGGGGCTTTTAACCATTTGGCCATCACTGACTGTCCTATTATTCCATTAATAATGTAATAACTAGAATAAGCTAGTTTTCCTCCGTAGGCTATTTTAATAAAAATAAATAATTCTAAAATCAAATCAGTTCATGAAAGTCTCCTTGAATATAAAATCAGGATATCCATAACAGACAAATAATGTAGACAATATTTTGGTGTATGTATAGTGTATATGTGATTCATAGTACATAAATATTTATTTAGTAAAGAGCACTTATTTGAATATTAGTAACAGACATTATAATTTTATTTATATGTATATATCATTAAAACAAAATCGTTGATTTGCCTTTAACTCAAGTTATATTCAACATCAATTGAACTTCAAGTAACATACATAAATTATAAGCTATAGTAATCTTTATCTGTATCTCTATTCTTATAAATATATAAAAATCCATATAATTAATTTCAGAAGTCGTTCAAATACGCCGGAACGATGTGACTCGCCCATCATCACGCCGAAGCGAGTTACCAGAAGTACTAGGTAAATGAATTATACTATTGTATGGATGCTACCAATTATAATAATACCTAATAAGTAATAAAGCACCTAACTGTATGTATAAGCCTCTTTGAAGTCGTTTGACAGTATGTTGTATATATCTGTTTTAGAAGCCGATCTCGTACACCTGAAATAAGTCCAAAATCATCTCTCACGCCCATAGAGGAGCTGCCGAAACAGGAAACTTATACCGCGGCCTATAAATCTAAATATATACCCTCACCTAGGTAGGAAACTAAAACTGGAATTTACATATATGCAACAAAATATTAAAATAAATAAGGTGTGATTGAATGTGAAACAAAAATGTCACCCTTATGTAAAGATTACACCTATTTCGATTATAGATTGTTCCTCTTAATGAATAACTAGTTATTAATGTCAACATTTAGTCCCGTGCATATATTGCAATATAAATAAGAGATTATATTTATTTACGATAATATAATTTTTATATTATGTATTTTGGGTATTCCTTTAATAGAGCACATTTTAATATACTTATTTTACTTCATAGAAGGTCCCGTACGCCCGAGAGGATAGAAAAAGTAATAGAGCCTCCGCGTCTTGAAGCAATTAGTGAATCACCCACCAAGTCATCACAGCCGCCACAATCACCCACCAGGCGAAGTCTCAGGTAACATAAACAGTGTATCTTAAACAACTTGTTATGAAGACATGTGTGAAAGCCTTGCCTAAAGAAAAGTTTTCATAATATAAAGATAATATTTTCTTTCGTTTGTTGTAGGCAAATATTGAAATATTTTTGCTATCTATTTGGCATCTGTAACTTTGTTTCCATTAATTATAATTTATATATTTTTTAGAAGCCGTTCCCGTACGCCGGAAGTGGAAATTATAGTTGACCCGCCTGTTACAACAAGTCCTCGTAGCTTAAGGTAATAATAATAACTAAAATAATATCGGAATTATAAGATATTATTCAACATTAGTCAATGAAATAAAAATAAATGAGGAACTCAATAGTACTTTACTTTCTAGAAGCCGGTCGAAAACACCTGAAAAGTTGATGTCACCGAAAAAAGATCTCGGAACCAGGAAGAAATCACTCTCAAGAATAGTTCTAGAAGCTAACGCGTTCGCTAAAACTAAACAGATAGAGAAAATGGACGCCGAAGAAAAATCTGATACAACCGGCGCTATAGAGTGTACTCCTATGAAGACTTCCAAACACACCGACCCGCCACAGCCCTCTCTCATGGACGTTGAATTCTCACCAATAGTCAACAAATCAATTCTACACAGTTCAACCGAGAGCTTCTCTATCACAGAGAAAATATCGAAATCGAGCGAAGATCAGATAGAAATTAATGAACTACCCGCCTTCACTATCAACGAGATATACACAGAGAAGTCTGTCCTACACAGCTATCAGAGCAGCATTTGTGGTAGTGAATCAATACATGACACGCGAGAGAGTATTAAAGAAACGGTAGAAAACTCCAAACCTCTCCCAGCATTTACGAGCATTACTGAAGACTTCGGCAAATCGGTACTACATAGCTTCGAAAGTACTATCGACTCTAGTAATACGGAAAGAAAAGCTAAAACAAATACAACAGACTACGGAGTTTTGAGTACTGATAATAGTGTTAGTGTGAGTAAACAAAACGAAAGTCTCATGACTAGTGATAGTGAAATAGATGACAGAGAGTGGAGTCGACTCGACAATCAGAACGCGAGAGTTATACAGAAGGAGAAGGAGAGAATAGTTGAGATAGAGAGAGAGATAAATGAGATAGAAGAGATGTCGGATGAGTGTCGCGAGACTAGTGACAGTAGTGACTCTAATGACACTGAGGACAGCGAAGACGACGAAGAGGTAACAAATATATGGAGCTCATTAGAAATATTTTCATTTAATTCTATTTTTTACTCCTATAGAAGTTTATTCATTCATTATAAATTTAAAAGAAATCATATAACAATTACTTTCAAGTCTAGAATTTATTATAACCCTTAGAATTGTTTTATTATTGATATAAATAATTATCTTTAAAATTTTGTAAAATGTCGTAACTATTCCAATTCTTTCGTAATATGTCTTGGGAAATAACCGGAAAATAAGATTATTTGTTTGAAAGAATATTACATTGAGGAGAAAACGAAATTTATACCCTCATATACTAAATTATAGAATCTTATCAAGTCATATAAAATATTCTTAAAACAGGAAAGCATTTAGAATCATTAATTCTCGATATCATTTGCAGGCCTCCGAGTCAGATAATGACAATGAAGTTATTTCAATCGAAGATTCAGACGAATCATCAGATACATACAAGTTGGAAATTGAAGAAGATATTGTTATAGAACAAAACCAACAAGAACAGCTTGAACAGGCTGCTGTCCTGACAGCTAGAGATGAGGTCACTGAACCACAAGCATCCGTTTCTGGTGTCCAAGAAAATAAAGAAACAGATGCAGAATTATTCCAAGCATCGCAAGAAAAATCTACTGAATTATTCCAAGAATCGCAGGAAAAATCTGATGTACTCAACCAAGCGCGTGATATATCGATTCTAACAGACGATAACTCGGTCATAGAAACAGAAGGAAATGATAAACTACACTACTCCGATGAAATCAAAAATGATGATAGCGTTGCCATGGAAACAGGTAAAATGATTTATTTTGAATTTGATATGATAAGGATAATTTCCATAACATCATGTTTTTTTTCGTTCATGATAGACATAATGTTATTATTAATGCTGTAATTTTATATAATCATTTAAGAATTAAAGCTCAATATTTATAAAAATATTCTCAAGTTGTTACAAACGTAGTTAGCTATGGAACAATCACAATTAAAAGGCTATTTTTATCTCAAAAAATGTATATACATATATTCGTATTAGACTTTTAATTGTTCTGCTACAATTTCTACAACAAAATAAATATCTTTTCAGACCAGCCTGTGATGACAACAGTAACTGTAGAACAATTAACAACTATTGAGCAGAATAAAGAAAAAGAAATTCATTCCAAAGAAGTAGATATTATAGATTCTGGTCTGTCAACGAATGAAGATCACAAAGTAGAAGAAATTGAAACTGTCAAAACAACTGAGACACAAATGGAAAGTGAAGAAAAAGATATCCAAGATATAAAAGATAAAGATATACCTGAAGAAATAGAAAATACTATCGTGGCGCAAGAAGAAATAGCTAAGGATGAAATAACAACACAAACAGAGGATATAATGAAAACAGAAGAAACGAAGAAAGTTGCAAAAACAAGGAAACGCACGAAATCTACATCCTCGACCAAATCTAAAGACGGTTCAGAAGTTAGTGAGAAGGTGGAACCGAAAACACCTCGCACACGACGACAATCAGCGAACAAAACAGAAGTCGAAGGAACTCCCGATAATAATGAACACACACCGAGAACACGAGCCAAAACACCCAGCACGGAAGTGAGGAAGATATTAACACGACGCGCGTCCAAGGAATTGGAGAAAATGGACGAAAAACACGAAGAACTCGAACTAACACCGAGAAGATCGGCTCGGAAGAAAAAAGAAGACGATAATATTAGTGTTACCTCAGATTCCTCTGTCAAATCTAGCAGAAGTAGGACTAGCGAAGACGGTAAACCGGCGAGGAAAGGAAGGAAATCTGTGATGAACATTAAACCGGATCTGACGGTGATACCGGAAGTCGCTGCCGAGGAATCAAAGCCTTCAGATGATATTATCAAGGAATACTCGAGTGCTAGACGGTATGTATCATTTGAGTTACTAACTAATTTATCGTTTTAATTTTAGTGATCATAAGTTTCTATACTTGAAACTACATACGCAGATTTTCCTTAAGATTTTCATGAACCTATGTTGATTCTATTATATGAGACCGAATATAATATGACGATCCAAACTTGTGTATCTTTACACACTTCTTTTATTACATCCATACAGTAGCTATTTTTGAAATTTTTAATTATATTTCATAAATAATTCTATGTACTATATTAAGCCACTAAATATTAATATATGATTTCCAGGTTGACACGTAATCAGAAGGCTGTATTGGACTCGTGGTTGGAGCCAGCTGTGCCTCGGAAAAAGAATGACAACGATTCAGACTCTAGCCTTACAAGGACTGACTACGACGGTAAGAAATATAGAAATATAGATACATATATGTATGGAATACAATATAAGATTAATTTGATATGAAATCTCATACATATACCTATTTTAAACTGTAAGGTAAGGTCTTTGACAAAAGTGTTGTGACAAATATTTACAGTCCTATCCCTAAAATAGTACACAAAATAAATAGTGAGACATTCTTGTATATATTAAAAGTAAGATACAATGTTGAAAGAATTAATAGAACATATATTATGAGATTATTTTCATTGTTATTAATAAATAATCTCAAGGTTAATAAATATAATCGGAAAATCTGTTGTTTTGAAGTTTAATCATAAAATTAGTGTTAATTCACAAATATAGTAATATTTTTTTCTGGAATTTAATTTCTCAGTATTCATAGTTCTTCCAAATGTCAATGACATCAACAAAAATTTTCATTTTCCATATTGTACATTAAAATCTGTACAATTTTTTTTTCCAAGCCAAACACCGGTACCTTGCTAACGTTGGTTAAGTAAAAGCATCTGTATATAGTTTACATATTAAATATAAGCAAATGTATTTATTTCTGTCTGACTGTGCTTTTATTAATTATATGATTTTTAATATTTATTAAGTACGAAATACATTACATATCTGTGATTATATGCTTGGAAATTTTAATAGATACTACCAACTTAACCATTGATTTATGCAATACTAAGCAGTTTTACTACATATGTAGTATATCCACTTATATAAGTATTGAAGTGAAACTTCCAACAAGTTTGCTTTAAACGTTTAACGCTCCTGGGGAGGGGGAAAAGTAAGAGACGAAAGTAATTGGGTGGGTCAATTGTGAATTGTAAGCAATGTTTATAAAGTTAAATCATAAAGAAACAATATGACTTCACTAAAAATTGATTACTCTCACTTCGTGCACACACATTTTTTGTTTTATCTTAAATAATATTCCATTCTAAGTATAAAAACTATTAGTTTCTTCAAATATTATAATTTATTTTACTATATATGCTAGTAAATCTGTTATCACTATATATAATAACTTATATATACCTATACCATATAATGCTTGTCATATATCCGCATGTTAAAGCATCAATGTTCATGAATGTAACGCTAGTAAGTGTTATCCCAGGCTCTCCCGAACGAGATCAAGACTCGGACTTAGAAACCGCCGTCAGACCACGTGAGTAATGCTTAGCATATTAAGTAGTTGCATGGCTATGTTAAACATTAAGTATATTTATATTTTTGCATATATTTTTTATTCATATAACATTAATTCTCGCAGTGAAATAACGATACTTTTGACTATAACTCACAGTGCGTATGTAATTTGAGATAGGAATAACGTAGTATTCCAAGATTTATGATTATTAATTGTTCGAAACTTATTAATTCATTCAAATGATTTATAGTTCTATATAGTTTTTTTCTGTAGATTTTAAGTAATTCGTTACTTCGAAGTTATTAGTATAAATATAATCTTATGTTTCATATATCTTCAGAGCGTCTCACAAGAGCTGCCTCTGAGACGAAAACTACGCCTAAGGCTGCTAGGATCGGTAGAAGAGTTTCAGTTGATATCGGTAAGTTCCTAGCATGTAGTTAGTTATTATGGCTATTTATTGTACATATTCCAGTCATTTTAGGCCAAATTAGGAGCATATCTAGGAAAATCGACATACTCAGTATATTAAAACAGAAACTTGTATTATTATCGATATTATAGAGAAATTAATTCTCTACAATATTTATAATGAACACAAATAGCATTAAACCCATAAAAAACTAAGTATTTTGCAAAAAGTAGATTTTTGTGACTTTTCACCCCTTACTCTAAAATTTGCGACCATCCAATTATATGTGAATTTTGAGGACAGTTTTAGAATGACGACTGTAAGAATAAATGACGACTGTTAGAATAAACGAGAACTGTAACTTAAACATATATATAATTTTAACTTAAAGTAAAGTTAAAAAAGATTAAAGCTTTGAAAAGGCGTAGTCATAACACATAAAGTTAACCTATCTGGTTAATGTTTTATATTGAATAAATTATAGAATTGTACTGTGCTACTGATATTTAAGTAGTGGAATAAATGTACTAAACTGAATTTCTTAGTTAACATTTAATATTTAGATAAGATTCATACATGAAATTTACTCCAGTGTTATCAAATTTTATCTCGTTTCGTTGTCCACTGTAATAAAATATACCAGTATATCATGAATTGTCATATCTACAGGTGTAACTCCTGACGAGGGTTCTCCTGTTTCTGGTCTATCGCGCGGCCGTCGCGCTTCGTTTACGCGCGCTTGTGAAGCACTTCACACACCCAGAAGGGGTTCAACTGATGTTAAGGTACTATTTTTTATATTACTTTATATGTATATCTTCTTCTTCTACCTGGCAATTTAGCCAGGGTCTGCCTTACAAATTGTTAATAATTTTGGCTAATTGTTTTTACGACCGACCGACTGCCTGACATCAACCCACTATGAGAATGTTACTTTATATGTATATATGTATATACTTTCTAAAAAATTTATAATACAATATTTATGTATACTAAATTACTTTTTTCGCTAGCATTTCTATTTCACGTCATATAGCAGTTATCTGCGTTGTATTTTTTTAAATTATTCTTAAAATAAGGGTTCTCTATATAATCTATTTATTCTAAAAACAAGTTATATTTACAGGGTTCCCCTGTGTCAGAGGTTGAGGCGACTCCACGGAGAGGTCGACGACCTTCAGCTACAAGCGTCAAAGGAGATGTTAACACGCCCAGGTACAGCTAACGGAACAAGATAAATTTTGTAAACAACTTGACTAGTATTTATTATATATTTTTTTATCAGTTTAACTAATAATCAGCTAGGTTTTATCACAGTTCTTTAATGAAAATTATATTAATAATAGCAAGCTATTACAGTAATGTTATTGAGAAAAAATAACTAAAACAAAATAATAATTTCAAAAAAATATTTTCATATAAAATTAGGTTATATTTTTGGTTTCTATTATTAGACTTGTATTTTTATTTTCAGGTCGAAAAAGGCTGCGGAAAAAAATAAAGAAACAAACGAATAATAGTTATGATTAAATTGTGTTAGTGAGTTTTTCAATTTTTGTTAATAATACCAGTGGATGTTTTATAGGTTTTGCATTTATATTATTAAAAAATAAGAATAGCATTTATGTTTTTTTTTTTATTTCTGAAATGTTACAAATACGTTATAATTATTATTATTCAATGAAAATCTCGCCCAGTACAATAATTTTAAATTGTTTAAATCGCAAAATATTACATAAAGTGTGAGATCACAGACGGTAATATAATACTCGTATAACGTTAGCCATTAATTTAACTTAAACCTATGTTTTAGAATGTTGCGTTTTTCATATATAATTAAATATAAATACTTAAATGCAGTACATAATCTACATTGGGTGATTCAGAATAAAGGTAGGTATTAAATAATTGACGTTCACATATATCACAATAATTCAGACATATTTTATTAAAGACTGTCGTTTTTCACTTCATTTATACTTTTTAATGATCTAATATGTATGGGCAGACTATTCTGTAGATCGACTTCGCCTAAATTAACATTTTTTATATAAGAATCTTTATTTTCATCGTCCCTCTTGTTGAATTGATTCAAACATATCTGTCTACTTTCTGCTTTTAAAAGCATTTTTTCCGTACAATCCACAACTTCTCTCTTCTTTCTCGGTATTATATTACCGTTCGCTATATCTTTGAGTATATTTGTTTCTTTGTATATAAAACCGTTCTGCTCTTTATTACTGCCAGCTGTTTGTTGTATTTTATTTAAGTTATCTTTATTGTCTTTGGGTATATTTTCCTTGTTATTTATATTAGAAATTTTTTGTTTATCACTCTGTACATCCTCTCCTTGTTTGTATGATTGTGGTTCATCCGGCATATGTACATGTTCTTTAGGTTTATCACCAATAACTTGTGCATTTTGATTTTCCTTGGTTGAATCTTTTTCATTTATCTTAGGTTGGTTTTGGATATTTATAGGAACATTAGCATCGACATTTTTGCGCTCAGTCACTATTTTAACTGGTTTGTCTTCGATTTCTTGAGGTTTTTGTACTGGCTTTTGCTGGTCGAGTGATTTTCCTACGTTATCTTGTACAATTAATTTCTCTATAGGCTTATCTTCTTTGGCTTCATCTTTCTTTATAGCGTCCAAAGTTTCCTCAGCTTTCTTAGCGATATCGCTTACGGCTTTATTTATTATATTCGCTATTGGCTCTTCGGGTTTTGAATTTTTGTCTTCAATCTTATCTGTATCGCCGACTAAGCTCTTTATAGCAACGTCAGCTATTTTCTGTATGCTCTCAACGGCTATTTTTTTCGCATCTTTACTGTCAGATTCTTCTTTATTCTTCTTCATTTCATCTTTCGTCTTCTTTAACTCAACCAAGATTTCTTTCTGTTCTTTAATAAGTTCTCTCTGTTCTTCTCCGTGTTGTTTTATAGTTTCTATCAACTGTTGTTGCTTTATTATATCAATTTTTTCCTGATTCGACGCCGTCTTGATCTCTTTAACTTTTTCCTCGTCTTTTTTAATATTTTCTTCTTTTGTTAGTTTGATGCCATTAGCTACTTCTTCGCCATTTAATTTTATCTGTATGTTACTTGGTTTAGCTTCTGCTACTTTATCCAATTCCTTGCGTTCCTGTACAAGTTGTTTTAATTTACTGTCTACTATATTAAACGGTGGTGATTTCTTCTCATCGGAGTGTGATTCCGGCGGTACCGGGTTCGGTGGTTGCACTTCAGAGTCCTTGATGATTGAATTTTCCAAATTGTTCACTTCCACACGAGACGGGATCTGCATTTCAGGTTTCGCCATAACTTCTGAAATGTGATATATATTTTATAAACATACAAGAACTAATAAACTAATGAAAAAACGAAAATGCATAAAAAAATCACCATCAGATCTCTCCATTTTATGGAAAAAGTCTTCAACGATGCGATCAATACGTTCCCTCTCTATGCTATGATCGTAATGATCACGTGTATCAGGAGATTTTATATTAGCGTACGATCCCAAAACCAAAACCATTAGTCCAAGAGCCACCACCATACGCGCGGCTATTTTCTCGCCTTTTTCTCGTCGGCACAGATTTGAATATAAGGCGGCAGGAAAGACCAAACATACAAGAGATCCCGCGGACGATCCCAATAGACCAAGTACACGCTCCACCGCTGGTAATGCGACGCCACAACATAAAGAAGCTCCCACTATAAGGGCTGTCAGTACTCTGTGAGAACGAACCGACATCGCTGAACGGTCACCGGACATCGCCTGGGCATAAACAATACATAGATGAGTACCATAAACAATATATTTTATGTTAGGGAAACAAACAATAAGATAAACTTATGGGATATGAATACAAAATGACGTATATCAGCTAAGTTTCCACTGGTAATTAGACACACATATATATAGCATACTATATGGTTATCATAGACAAAGATTATAAAATTGAGGAATTACTGCTATCACAAGGTATTAGAATTATAACAAAATTCTGTAATTTTTTCCTATGTGAAGAATTAATATATTAAATTTAAGTACTTACCGTTCTATAGAAAAATGAGTACAGACTCTCTCTGCACGGGAATATTATGAGTGGGAAACTGAACGCCAAGGACATTACGAATCCCAACTTGATGACGTCACTCGCCATAGTAGGACTCAAGCTCACTAAAATATTCCCTGTAATACAAAATACTTATATATATTCTCATGTAAATGTTAAATTTCTTGACATTTATTATGGCTACCAGGTGATAAAACAATTCACTATTGAGTTTTATCAATATTACCGTAATAAAAGTTAAAAATACTTTTAAAAAGCAATAAATATACAATATAGATATTTTTTCAAAACTACTATGTTCTAAATCAAGGTCAAAAAAAACTGTTTTCATTTTTAATTCCTAAAAGTTTCCTAACATCAATAAGTAATATTATAGGATATTTTTATCGTATTCATTCATATAATATACTAGCTCTTGCTGCGACTTCGTCCGCGTGGAATAGTGATTTCCGGCAGATTTTTGGTTCTTCCCACATAGTTCCCGTTTTCGGAATTTTCGAGTTCAAGTAAAATTTTCAGGATAAAACCTATGTTTTTTTTATTCACAATGAAGTACTCTTAACCAATAACATATTTATTTGTTTATTTGAATAAAGATTAATATTATTATGTTGATACAACTTAAACAAATTTTTTCGACCAAATTAGGTAGCATAAAAACGGTTTTTGTGAGTTAATCTTAAAAGATAGACATATACTGTCGCCGACTGTTTTTTAGATCATTAAAAGAGCTATCATTCTTTAATACATATTTTTTGTGTATCTTGAACCGTTTTCACGGCGCACGCAACGGAAGGCTTCAAAGATGAAATAATTTCTCCCGTTTTTTACACATTTACCACTATATCTTTGCTCCTATCGGTCGTAGCGTGATGTTATATAGCCCTAAGCCCACAGCCTTCCTCGATAACTGGACTATCCAACACAAAAAGAATTATTTAATTCGAACCAGTAGTTTCGGAGATTAGCGCTTTCAAACAAACAAACAAACAAACTCTTCAGCTGTATAATACATATTGGTATAGATTATTTAATTAATTTATATATTTAAAATTATTTTACATCAATATTTTGTACCTGATATTTCTTTTGAGCCAAAAGCGATGTACCCGAAAACTCCAAGTGTGAAATATACAGCTGAGCAAATATTGATCGCATTTTTGGTAACCATACACATTTTATCCAATGAAGCCATCGGCCATGATTCAAAGATTTCAAACAGTTGGCTGGAAGTCATATAAAGAATGTTTAATTTGAATAAGTTTACTTAGTTTTATTATTAAATATGTATAGCTTACGTCTGACAGAACAATGCCATAGAGAATATCGGTACACATTGAAGCACACCAGATGGTTTCCATAACTCTATCCGACTTGTCCAATCAGATGAGATCATCTCGCTCCCAGCCTCAGCTATTACCTAATTAGTAAATTAATCATCTTATTTGCATCAATTCATTAAAAACATGTTTCTCTATATCTGGTCTTTACAGATAACTAGCTTTCCGCCCGCAGCTTCGCCCGCGTGGAGATCGGTTATATCGCGTTTCCAAGAGAACCAATCAAAAATCTGGTATAAAAACTATCCTATGTTCTATGTTCGTTATTGTTCTCTATGTTTAGCCGTGAAAGCGTAACAGACAGACAGACAGAGTTACTTTCGCATTTATAATATTAGTAGGGATTTAAAATTATTTCTATAAATAAATAATTAAACTTACCTTAATAACTAGACAAAAATAAAATGCTATAGTTGCAGCACTGACATTACTAAGACTATCCACATTTCGTAACAACCCTAAAGGAAGTACACAGACCAATGACACAATCACCATAATTGATGTTCTGGAAATAAAGATATATGCATAAAACATACAAAATTCTAGAAAAAAGAAAATATTTTAATCATGGTTTTGTCAACAAGTTTTATCACCTCAATGTATCACTTTGGTTTATATTGAAAATCTTTGCTATAATTTGAGGACCCAAATCTCCAACCACAACAAAGTAAGCAACACATGTGCCCATCAAAAATCCGATAATTCCTAATTCGATGGCTGTTTTACCGACTGATCCGAAAATGTGAAAAGCTGCAAATTGATAGAAGAATAATTAAGTAAATATGATTTTTAGAGTTTTTCATTAATTAGCTCTTACAATATTGAATGAATAAAAATACCTAAAAACTCATAGTTTCGTCTTCTGGTTATGATAGCTGATTTTAATAGAAAATAACAGCATAATCTGGATACTAGGCCCATTGATATTAAAATGAGGGTTGCGAGAATGATTCCACACTACAAATAAACAAAATTATTGTTAAAATTATTAAGCAATCTATTAGGGAAGGTACAGTCGTGTAATGCAGCTATATAATTTTTTTTAAACAAATACATGAATTGTAGATGTAACTTAAAATGTTAACAAAATAAAAGACTAAACCTTTTAAAAAATACATCGAAATCAGCGGAATTGAAACCAATACCATACGACGTTGTTCTAATCTATTTACCAATTATGTAAATGAGATATAGAATTTATTGTTTGATTATTAGATTTCTTCTGAGATTAATAAGTATTTATAAGCAGTGACTTACTTGTTGAAAACAAAATGGCATTGCAAGTATACCGACACCTATTATACTGTTTGCCAACGTTATAGATACTCCGGTGACCCTCATCTTGGAAATTATTTAATAATCCACTTTCAAACAATATTTTTCTTTGCCGAAAATAATATGAATTGCTATGACTACATGTCGATTTACTGTTATGACAGCTGACGTGACATACGTTGTCATATGTGTTGCAACATAGTCAAAATTATTGTAGTTTTTAGCTTATGCTGGTAGCGTGGTAACACCAGCTGTGTTAACAAACGTACGTTTTTAATATTTTTACTTCCATTATCTTTATTTAACAATTCATTGCTTATTTTATTTTCTATTTTACTATTCCTTGTTTATAGTTTCTATTTTACACTAACTATTACATCCGACTTTGTCGAAATATTGACCCCTTTCGAGGTTTCATTCTATTTCTCACAGACAATTTTATCATTTTCTTCCCAAGTGGCAATGGAACTTCCTCAGCCAAAAAATATCCTTCCGATTTATTTTTCTTCTTCTTTTTTGAAGTCTATAAAAAAATATAACGAAAAGAAACTTAGGTATAGTTATGGGCACGTATCTTAGCAGGATTTTGGCGTAGTGGGGATAAGTTTGCACGCAAAAGTACTACTTAATACAGCAAAATGAGACCAGTATTGATGCTTTTCGTTATCAAAATTTTGTAATAGTACCTACCATAAAATAATGGGCCGAATTTAAGTGCACCCAAATGTACTCGGGAACAAACATTCAACCACGGACGGTCCAGAAAATAACTTGAGGGTTGAAGTCGCTGTTTCCTTTATCAAGGATCTAATTTAGCCAATGAACTTTTTAGTTTCTATTTCTTATCTGCTTCCACATAAGAAAATGTGTTACGAACAAGCAAATTTTTTATTTTTCTCATTATTCATGTGTGTTTTAATAAACCCAATTTATTTTATATATATATTTAAAATCTTATATCACATAAATATATTTGCTGCATGATCAAGCTGAATTCATAAGGGACTTAATAGTTAATAGATCATGAAACAACTGTGGTTACTTTAGTTTCTATAAATTGTATTATGTCATATCTAGGCCTGATATATATATGTATTCCAGAGTAATAACTTAACATGTTTCCAGTTTTAGATTATTAAAATATGATATGGTAGACAGAGGAGCTTTGACGGTGGAGTTGAGCTTTTAACGCGCGTTAGGTAGGGGCCCCTTAAACCTACACCTGGGTCGCAAGTCCTAGGCAATGTTGAAGCCCATCTCCCCGTAACGCGATGGACCCGGTAATTAAATGGTCAGCTAGGCGTAACACAAACGTATTAAGACCAGAACTTAGATTTCTTCACTGACTTCAGTGGCTTAACAAACTTTTAACTTATAAATTTAAAAGCTATAGGAAAAAAATAGTTCATAATGTTTTCTCATATTAACTTTTAACTACTCAGTGAACTAATTTTCTAGTTACTTATTGAAAATCAACAAGTTAATATCGCTTAAGAAAAGGTAGTGAGCATTATGCTGGTTTTCCTATTTAAATAAGCTGAACACGTTTCTATACAAAAAAAAAATGTTCCATATTGAGGATAACCTTGCCCCACAAGTTTATGTTAATAAAACTACATCTGTAGATTTATTATTATTAATTATTATATTTTATTATTATTATTAGATTTATTATTATCAATTATTAATTATTATATTTTCGTTGATAATTAATCCATTTGTAAATGATGAAACTTCAAAGAAAACAACAATCACATTTAAAACATTTATTTAGTTCTACACACTTAGGTTTCCTCTTTGGTACTACAATCCAGTATACAGAAAACAATTTAAATAAACAAAATAAAAGTCAACTTAATCGAACTTATAGACGATAAAACAAATTTATAACACCGAATCTTTAGGTGGGTGTTTTTTTTTTTCTTTGGCTAATAACATTTTCATTTCTTGGCAAGATAGATTTGTAAATACATTTTAACTGAATAGCTAACAGAGTCACGACATCGGTAATAGTTTAATATTCCATGCATACATTATTTCCTTAAACAATTAAATGGCTATATGAATAAATATGACTTCGACTAAAATTAAAATGAAATTCAAATGCATACATACTACGGTCTACACAGTTATTCTGAAAGAACTAAGAAAAACCATTAACTAGTGCTACAATAACTGTGTATGTCATTTGAACAAATTCATTTGAAGTATTCCACATCAATCTTTACTAATACTAACCTTAGTCTCGCTTTACGATAGGACGGTCATCCTATTTTTTGATATTAATGAAATGTTTTTTACTTAATCTATGACATCTATTGACATTAAAATACACAAAGTAGGTTACACATCCAAATTATCGGTGTCCCTATTTTACGTTTCTACAAAACTTTCTATAACAAGATAACATTAAATCCACTTGAAGGTACGGTCACATGATTCATTCGAGAGCTATTTAAGGATATTTTTAGAGCGCACCCATCAAACAAAAACACATGCAGGGAGCAACGGAAATTGTATATTTAGAATATCGGCTGTCTATCGCCTTACAAGATCCCATATGGGCATATGATTTTTTAAAGAGGCCATGTGCATACACCTTTATGTGTATTCCAAGAAATGCTTACCCTAACATATTTTATTGGCAATACTCGGTTAAATATTTTCCACTACAGATAAGGTACAAACTTCAAAGATACATAGTTTCTCAAAAAATACTAAATGGTAAATTTCTTTTTCTAACTTCATAAAAATATAACTTTCGCTTCTTTTATCAAATACATACCTTAACTACAAAACAAACACTGAGATAAGCTGCTTAATGTATTAGTAAGAGTAATTCACACAAGGATACATCGGGTTTGACGATAGATTTAGTCACACTACGGTCATGAAATGTCTGCACTCTGATTCCAAAAAGACTTATATCTACAAATAGTAAAACAAAGGAATGGCACTGGTATAATTTTGAAGTTTAAAAACAATCTAACAATACAATATGAAAGATATAAAATAAAACTTAATAATAAAATAAAGAAAATAACAACTAATGGCACAAATGTATAGCTATAACTTTGTTAGGTCTAATTTATAAATAAATTAAATGTACATAATATATATTTTTTTAAACAATATCTTTCATCAATCAAATATATTTGGTTTGATAATGTGAACTACCAGAAATGCTATGCTACTCTTAAATAATTGACATAAATAATGAAATTCATCCTAATTAACTAAAATAAATAAAATGCAATAAATTATAAACTTTGGAATAATCACTTTCAGTTTTTCTATGGCAAGTCTTCGCTATTAAAATTTTCTAATTTTTATACTAAAATAAATTTATATTAAATTTTAAAACATTCAGCAAAACTATGCAATTTCAAGTTAAAAGTAAAAAATGTTTCAGTACAAATATACAATAATTTGATATAAAAATATGATTCAATGAGTGGAAAATAATTCTACTACATTAATAAGAAGTTACATGTCGCCTCAAAGCACTTAAAATGTTAAAGTTGTGTGAATTTTCAAATTTACATATTTTTTATAACACAACAAAATTTATAATCTTAACAATTCTACTTCAAAAGATTTACATATGAATGGAGATTTCTACACAAAGTTAATGTGTAATAAATATTTTCTCATGATTTTAGTTTTTAATGTAATTTCTGTTGATATAAATGAATTTATTTTTTATCATCAGTCAATAACACCAGGATGTCTTCCATGCTTTTGTTTTCGTGTTTAAATTTCTCCATCTTTTCCTTTGGGACTGTGCCGTTCAACAGGATCTGAATATTTGTCTTCAAACGCTTAAGAGCCGTCAGAGATGCATCTTTACAGGGTGTGTGGCCCATTGCTTCAAGAGATTCAACTAGTAGATCATCAATAAGACGTTTGTTGAACCCTGTCACAAAATTATCAGTTAAAAGAACTGAAATAAACTTGAACACTATTACTGTAATGTGAAAACATTAAAAAACCGTTGGAACCCTAAAAAAAAAATTTTGATAAATTCTATCTGCCACCACCTATTAAATCTCATAGAAACAATGAAAAACCAAGCATAACCATAAAAATCAGACAAGGAACATCTGCGAAACATATCAATGAAACCCATCACCAGCCAACACCATCAGTTTTAAAAACAAAATGAAAATGAACTCACACATTGTTGCTTGACGACTTATCTGCTTCAAATTGTAAGTTCTGCTATAATAAAACATAGACGAATCAATCTACAAAATGTATCATGCCAAACACTTTTTGTGGTCTTCACAAAAGCATACAGCACACAAAAAAAAACACTCATTTGCAACCCATGAAGAGATTCGGCAGTGACTTGTGTTTACCTACATCAATGAACATATTTTATGACAGTGCATTTATTTCATAATATATCTTGTTAAGTGTCTCGATGTCATGGATGTCTAATGAAAATCACACCAATGAAAATTTTTTGACATTTATCGACGGTTTGAATCCTATTTTGTATAACAATTTTTAGGATTATGTAATGAATGTTGTGATACATAGTGTTCTCATAATATTTATTTAGAGCGCACAAAAAGCGATATAGTTCACACTGGTTAAAAATATAAAAATCTGTGCATTTTTTGTATTATTATGTGATAATTATAAAGGGATATACGCACCTAAGAACTTCAATTTTTCTTTAGTAGCAATCATTGTCAAGAGGAGAGCCAATAAATATCTCATATGCGACAAAGTCATCGGAGATTCAACAACCTCTTCTTCTTTTAAAGACACAGAAGCCTGAATTTGCTCCTCAAATGACATTTCATTTTCGACGTCTTTGCACTTTTTGGTATGGTTTTCAAGGTCTACCTTGAGCTTGAAAAATAATTTGCATTTTTGGCACCTATATGGTTTTTCTTTACCATGAATTTTACGCATGTGTGACTTCATGTGTGGCAATTGTGAAAATGACAAAGGACACATGGCACATTCAAATGGTTTTTCACCAGTATGTCTCCGTATATGCAATCTGAGTGCATTTGAATGAGTGAATGGTCGGTCACAAATCCTGCAAGGGTATGGACGATCCCCTGTGTGTGAACGTCGATGGACAGTCAGCTGAGTAGATTGAGTGAAACTCAGACCACAGTCAGGGCATTTATGAGGACGCTTCTTCTCATGAGTACGCATGTGCTCAGTCAAATGTCCTCTAAGATACTTCTTACATATTGGACATTGTATTCTTACACCAACATGAGAGATTTGAACATGACGTCTCATTGAGTTACTCCTCAAAAACTCTTTACCGCAATGTTGACATATATAGTCCTTTACTTTTAAGTGACTTTTAAAATGTGATGTCAATTTGTTTCTGCAATCAAAGCTTTGTTCGCATATAATGCAATCATATGCTCCGCTCACCAAGTGAGTTTTTTCATGTTGCATTAGTTCAATTTGCTTTTTAAATTTCTCCTTGCAATAAATGCATTTGAACATTGGCACACGTTGAGTGTGGCTGGCTATGTGCAACACTAGGTTTTCCTTTAACAAGAACGTTCTATCGCACATGTTGCAAATAAAATGCTGCTCCCAATCTGGATGTTGTTTTGTTATATGAGCCGACAAGTATATGTTTTTGCTGAAAACTTTGTTGCAGTGCTTGCAAGGGTGGGATTTTAATTTCATATGTATATAGACATGTCTTCTTAGATTTGCTTTAGTAAGAAATGATTTTTTGCAATGATCACATACAAAGTTTCCTTTTTTTTGTTTCCTTGCAGGTGTGCGGACTTTAGGCTGATAATCTACAAAAAAGTCATCATCATTGGAATTGTTTTCCACATTTTGTGGTTCAGGTTGTGAGTCGATGTTCTTATTGTGATTAATAACAATATTGTTGTTATTTGAACTGTTAGATGGAGTGTCCTCTGTTGGTTTCTCATTCTTATTATCAATAAGCAACTCACTCATTAAAATGTTGTTACAAATTTTCAGATTGTTCTTATTTTTCAGCTTCAGATGCCCATGTTTGGTCAGCAACTTGTTTTTGGTTACTTGTATATCTTTTTTTTGTTTTCCATCTCTTATAAGCACACTGTCATTTAATTTTTCTTTCACATAACTACTTTTAGCACTTTTTGAACCTGAATTTTTATCATTATTTGTAGTTGATGATTTTTTTATTCTACCACTCCCACTTATTTTATTCGACGATGGCTTGGATGAGTTAATTCTTATCTTTACATTAGCCATGATGGGAAACTAATACAGGCCCATTAGTAAGCGTATACTTTATGAATTTTGTAATAGAAAATAAAGCGAAAGACCACCACCAGCTGAGAGTAGTACAAAATTAGTAATACGTTTACTTCGTTTAAATGATTTTTACAAGTGACGTGCTCTCGGAGTACTTACATGCACTGCTTTGTTACTTCATAATCATCTCTAACTAAACCAATCGGTTACGTGCATTGATAACGATGTTCTAATGTGTGAAGGACGAATCCTCTGCCTTTAGTCTTGAACAAATAAGACGATTACCTTGTCCGATCTTCTAACAATGAACTATCGATCCATAAAAACAACAACCTCGGTAACATTTAAACGTTGAAATCTACATTGTTTCTGCCTTCACGAAAATAAGAAAACGTTTGAGAAATTTTAAAAGAATCTATAAACACTGTTACACTATTTTTACATAAAATTCACTACACTGAGAATATCGCATTCACAAAACGAATGTCATACTTATTTGTCAAATTGCACAATTTTAACGTCAAGTACAGGGAGTCGCTAGTGCCATCTACTGTCTACCTGAATTACTAAATACAAAGTTCTTTTTATATAATTACAGGAAAATTATCCTGTATTTTGCATATTCCTTAGTCGTGTCTTTTAATATAATGTAACATTTCTTTACCTTAAATATAAATATCATTTTCACTACACAATAGATCAAGAATGGACAACGAATAATGTACACGTCTTACATTATATTCCGGGATGCAAAATAATATATGTATTTTTTATGACGATGTTACACTTCAATAAACATAATAAGTCAGTGTATAAGTATTAAGTATTATAACGACACAATTATAGTACTGTTTCGTAAATGAAATCAATAATAAACATTTAACAAACGGACGCACTCGGAATTAACATTAATGGAAATAAACGCAGCTGGATTTAATTTTAAATCGATCATCACGTGGCTGGTTACGTGTTGTCGAACACTTGGTAACAGATCTAATAACACGCTACTTAATTAAAAGGAACCTTGAATTACAATTAATAATTAGCTTTACACTAACCATTACAATATCTATAGATGCCTAAGAAATTATTCTAAGGAGTAAAGGTTCATAAAATGATTAAGTATTTCTCTAGGTTGTAACAATTTTTTAACAACGGGATACTGGGAAACGTTAAATAGTTCAGAATCATGTAAATAATTTGTTTACATTAAACATATATTCTCATTTAAAAAATACAGTAAATAAATTTATTAAATTACTTATATATATGGGCGTTGAACTCTTTATTACTAGATTAAAAACGTCTAGTATTAAAAAGACATCAACGAAGATACTTGTGGCATCAGTTTCTTACAATATATTTTATTTCATATGTACCTAGTTATATTTTATTAAATATATAATGCATACATGCACGAGAAGACAGTGCCATCAATACTATGCAATGTTAATTGTCTCACAAGTGCAGATTTATGGAGATTTCATATTTATCGATTTTTAACGTATTATATATAATTTATAACTAACAAAGTCTTAAACTAACGAACAATGCGACATATATGTCTGTAATTGACCTTCAAGATTAATATAAAGGTTATATTTATCAAAACTATTTTTCATTTTATTATATCGATGATAAACTTAAGATGGTTGACAGTGTTCAAAATAGTTTCAAAACTTCTTAGACGACGCATATAATGTTTGCTGATTATGTTCGACGAAATTACAGATAATATTTTTTCGATTGAACAATAGTCTGCTCATGGGACAATGACAAAGTTTAAAATGAACCACGTTTCTGTTTGGCCACGAGACAAGAAAGTGCTGAAGATTTTTTATAGATTTTAATTGTTTCTCATTATTTTTGTAATACCAAACTCCTATTAAAATGCCATTGCACCGTAATTCAGTCAAAAATTATTCACTTGCTTTCGTTGTGTCCGTTCTAGTTAGGTTTAGCAAATATTTTCAGACATGCTTGCTGCTTTAATACAAACATGGAAATTGAAATTATTCATTGGCTTTTTTTATTTTCGTTGTTTTATTTTAATTTGATTTTATTTAATATATACATGTATATATATATATAGTTCTCCTGGCTCCACATAGCCGGTTGTTATATTGTTTTGCTTTCCCTATTGTTCGTTCACAATGGCCGCCTTGCCACATCCATCTGCCGGGCCCTAATTCTAATGACATCATATTATTTATAGTTCTTATAACATTTACATAAAGATCAAAATCAAATTGACCCTTTTTGTATATTCTCTTCGGTGGCCTTTTTAATTTTTTAAAAAAATTATAATGTTATTTACTATATGATGGCATGCGACGTATTTAGTTACAACCTTTTTTGTGTCAATATGTCTGATATTTTTAATCTGTTCCATTTTTGTATCATGAAAATTAGCGCATGAAAAAGAAAAGATAGGACTTATTTAAACATAGGAATTTTAACATCTAACCCAGCCATTATGATAACTTATATCTACGCTTTCTCAACTAGTAAATTGGAATACTTTTTCTTCAACAGCTGTAATCAGTATATACACTTTGTACAAACCACAAATATCATAATAATGAATTTAATTATCTCCCGTAACAGAAATTTAATTACAGATAAGATAAGACGTAATGTACATAATATCGAGCGGGTTGAGCATACAATTGTATTTTTAAATTGTAATTGCCTTATTGTCTCGTATACGAATAACAATGTGGTTTGGTAATGTTTATACAGTTTTGTAACGCACGAATTCCCCTAAAATATTATCATAATAAATAATTTTGAACAATTCCGTCATTAGTGTGATGCAATTTTTTATGTATCTATATTGTTACCTTATTTTTATTTAAGTATAAATATTAACGAGGGAAAAGTTTTTATTACGAAATAAGTATCTGAAAAAAAATCAAAGTTTGGTTAAACAACTTTACATTTAACCCATAATAGAATATAGAGTATTTGTCTACGTGTGTAGATGGATTAAAGTACATAATTGTATATGATTTTTAATCTGTAAAAAAATATTTTAGTTTATTAACTAATTAAACTAAGCATTTTTTTAGTAATAGTTTACCCAATAAAATAACATCTCTGAAGACCAAAATTAACCGCAAGCATACTATGTACCCTTTATATCTAGACGACGTCTACTTACGCCGATAACAGTAATTACTCTTAATTATTTACTAACTTCTATTTATATATTAGTAATGATAAGTTGAAAGCGTGTAAATACATAATACACGAATAGGTAACCTCCATTTTTTTTTAAATTCTAACAAGCAAAACCTAAATAGTTTAATTTATTTGGAACGTTGAAGTACTTGTGTGTCGTATTTTAAGACGTGATAATAAAGTGACATCTTATCTCTCTTAACAGATAAATGATAACGAAATGAAATTATGAAAATACAGAATTATATAGCAGAGAAAATTATCACTCAATTATGAAATTATTTTTTATTATTATTTCCAATTAATGGATAATGGCGTACGTTTAAAAACTGTGTTTTTATATAAGTATGTTGTACATTCAAATAAAAAATAATGAAAAAAATAAAAGAATGCGCCATAAAATTATTACAGTTAATATATTTTGGTAAGAAACGAAGGAAAAGATATGTTTAACTTTTTAATTATGACCAACTAACCGATTTCTCGAAGCTGTTAATGTATGTTGTAAGACCAAGCCTTGCCAAAAGTTTACACTATACCTATACGATAGGTTTATGAATGAAGAACTGGGATCTCTCCACATCATAGTTTTAGCCGTGTATTAATTTTAATACTGATTATATACTAGGTACTCTAAGATGAATAAAACTGCTATTTTAGGATTACTACTTATTTTGCAGCAATCGAAACGTCGCGTCGGGAGTATGTAGTTTAAAAATAATAAAATAAAGCGTAGTAATCCAAAAATATCAGTTTCATTTAAACCTAAAGCTACATATCCAGATGAGCTAGAGATCTATAAACATATGCTGAGGTACTTCGATAAGCAAAAATTGTGTTCCTGTCTAGTAGAGAAACTTTATGTAAGTGAAAGCTAACAATGTATACCTAATCTAATATAATATACCTATGTACGTAATGTAAGTATTTTTTGAATATGTGTATAGGCCTTTTTAATGTTGTATAAATATGAATTAGTCATTACTCACACTACCTTATATGTGGAATTAATAAAGAATGCGTAAACAACACCCATGTTATCAGAGAGCTAATATTTTGGTACATTAACTCACAAAACCTTACGAGATCATTGAACTTTCTTTGTCACAAAGAAAATAAGTGTTAACCTAATTTCTTTAACGTCACAGTCTAGTTGGCGACAAGGTGAGATGTCGAGAAAAATTTGAGACGCCAAAGAAATTAAGGTAAGTGGATTAGATAGAAAAGGAATTTTAAATTATGTAAGATGTGATCTGTTTTTGATTTAAGCACATCCACAATATTTTAATGATGAGAATTATCTATTTAAGTAATAGACGATAAATACGCCAAAAGAAATAAAAGTAAAATTGTCGGAACTACTACGAGTTTTTAATTATTTTAAAACGACATGCTTCTCTACGTTTCGGTTACTTTACAGCAACCGTGATCACGGGCAGATCAGATGAAAATATCCGGCATTTCCTAAAACATTGTTCGGAATTATTTGTTTTCTTTAAATGAATACTCGCGAAAGTTGCAGCTCTATAATGTCCATATATGTAGTAGAGTTTTTAATTATTGTATTTTTGAGGTAGCTTTGGAGAACTTTATCTTTAATGTCATAATTAAAGCACAAAATATATTCGAAGCAATGATTATTATCTTACAATTTAGACATGTTTCAATTCAAAAGTTTTTAATCAAAAATATATATGTCATACGCAAAAATATTGTTAATAAACGTAAGTTTAATTCAAATTAATGACACAAAATGGTGTCATTTCAAAAAAAAAATGTTTTAGTTTACGTATAATTTGTTAGATTTATGATTCCGAGCAGTTATTAACTTCCATTATACTGATATCAAAGAATTAAGGCAAATGTATTTCTTAAAGAAATCAGTACTTTAGAAGTATAAATTATAATTAATGAATTAAAAAAGTGTACAATAGTACTTAGTACTTTTTGTATCTAAGAAGTTTTTGTGAATAAACGCTGAACATATTAGGAACATGTGAAACAAAGAGTTCGAGTTACCTAAGCAAAACAAAATCTAGCACATTTGTGACTAGCTTGTCTCCAAATGTCTGATAATTATCTCACATATCATTATCTTCGCTCTAATAACCTTCTAGTCATTCACCTCTTAGAGACATTATTGCGAAGTAATCCCCTATACACCATGTAGGTACCTACGGAGATTTGTTCATGGAAAATATGTAGAAGAAAATAAGTTTGAGCGGGGATAGTTTTCCATTGACTGCACTACTTGTGGTCCAACATCTTCCATCTTACTTGACGTCTTAGTTTCGTGGTGAGAGGAAGCCATTGTTTGGTTTCGAGCAAAATTTTGACGGTTGCTTTTTGGCAATCGGATAGTTTTATATTTCAAGTTGTTTTCATGTCAAATAGTCGTTGTGAGAATGGTGAAATTTTTGTGGTTGATTTTGTTGTTTGCGATGACGATTTTGGCTAGTGACAACGAATTACCCGTCTCTGATACTGAAAAGTGTAAGTCCCGTTTAACTAATTATTTTGCTACTATAATTATTCCTTACTGTAAACACTGATTTACTAAAACATTTTTTTTTGGAAAGTTACATAGAACGAATGATTTCGGGTTATAGCCTTATATATAATTTTCAGAAGACTATTAAAACAACGCATTTATATATAAACAAAAAGAGATAGACAGCAGTATTAAATTGTTTAAATGTTATATAATTTAATGTATATTTTTATGTCAATTTATTAACGACGAACCTATGGCTATATTTCTTTACTAATTTTGCTGCCCGCAATAATCGAACTTACTTATTTCCTTTAATATTTCTCTTTGAGATTTTAAAATAAAATTAAGTAAAAAATGCATTATATGTTTATGTCGTCTATATGCTTTACTAAATCATCGTTCATATTGTAATTAAGTCATGTAAGTGTGTTCTGAGACAGTAAGAATAAGGATTTTAGCAAAACAAATTAAAATCTTATACATATATATCTGTGCACTATGTTCTCAAGAAGTTGTTTCATTGTAAAAATAGAAATAAAAAAACTCTCCTCTCTATATTATTGACGGCTCAAATCCACCTAAGAAATAGCGACTTTTTATTTGATTACGTAAAAAATACCCACGTTTTCGTTAAAAATTCTCACGCTTTCTACTTTACAACTTAATTACCACCATTTTTGTAAAATTTTCATTGTTTTATTTAAATTACATGTATCTAATATGGGTACAGAATAAGCAAATTTTTTTTTCATTAACAAAAACATACATTATTTAACTTAAATAATAAATAAATAAAAGTGCTTACACCCCAGGGAAAACTAATTAGTACATACTTAAATATTAGTTAACACTTCAAAAAAATTAAACCATTTTCACCGATTGAAGTTGAATGAAAATTTTACTACTGATATCAATATCAAAGAAAATGTAAGAATTATCTGAAGTTGTAAGTAAATACATATTTTCTACACACACTTTTCACGGTTGATTAAAAACATAGTACCTAAATAGAAAATAGTTATTGTATAAGATGCTCATCTAATATTTTTAATGAGTAGGTATGTCTCCACATTAATTTATTTTATTTTGGTAAACAGCCATATTTCTTTCTTATGATTGCTGTAAGCACGTATAAATTTTTCGCAATACTACCCGGGAAAATTGAATTTTACTTAAGAATTTAGAACATTATCTACTAAAAAGAAATATTTATGAAATTTGAAACTAGTTTTGCTTATTTTTGAATTGTAAGCAATTCTAGGATATAAATTACGTTGTTGCAAATAAAGGAATTTTTATTTCACTAATAAAAATATTATTAAAAGCCCACAACTTGAGAGAAATACCTACAACAGGTGTTTTCTCGATATACCTATAACAAACAATTATATTAGTTGTTATGAAATCAATTTAAATTGTAAATGAATGTAATTGCTTATATTTTTTCATAGATATTTTTTCCTTATCGAAAAAATATATCGTTCAATAGTTTAATAAAATATAATACAGGGTGACTGGTGAATTACTATCAATATTTAAGGAGAATACTCGGTACATGATTCTCATTCCAATTATGTAAAAAAAATAGGTACTTAATTTTTGACAAAATTTCCGTATAAATAAATAAAGTGTTGACACGTTCCAAGTGTTCAAGTGTGGACGCGTGCGGCGGCGTGCTGATACAACACCACGTCACGACACGCGTATGTGTGAGTGTCAGTGTATACCTAATCTGTAGGGTGTTCACACGATGCGTAATTAATTACACAACTTTTGGTTAACTTTACTTAGAAGTTTATTAATATTTATGTTATATGAATTTTTATTTTGTCATATATGATCGTCAAATATCACGTCCTCAAATATCGATAGTAATTCACCAGTCACCCTGTATATGATATATGAATAGACATAAAATTAGTTTAAACTCACCATTTCACGGCAGTAAACACGAGACAATAGAAGTGAAAAGTTAGGATCGCTATGGAAAATAATTGCGACTAAACTTTCCTTTTTTATCTTGATATATTTATTTAGATCGACTTAGGTTTTATAATCTATAATTTGTAAAACTATTTAAAAACAGTAACCGGTAAACAATTGCTTTTTCTAGCGTTAAGATATCTTCCGTTATACGAAGTGAAGAGGTACGACAGGCCTATTGGAGGTGGTCTTCCTCCTTTAACATCTGTTCCCGTCGCTGGTGAGAGATGCTCCGCTCGCCTCGAGTCTGCTTTGGATCAGTTGAAACGACGAAAACGAAATCAACCAAAGAGTTTGGATATGCCAATGGTATGCCATAAATCTTATGCTTATATACCTTATAACATTTTATTCAGAATAGGTAGATATTTATTCCTATTTATTACAGAGCCAAAGTATTGATCTCAACGGTTACAGCCTGTACCAAGCTATGAGAAGCGCGCCAGTTGATATGTATGTAACAAGAATGCGTGTGCGGCTTCCGCAGAACAGCAATTGGGTAAGAGTCGAGAAGTGTTACTTCGATCCAAGGAACGTATCTTTAGACACCATGCTTCTATTCCACGATCTGACAATTAGCGGAAATGTCGATTTATATGAGGTCAATGAACTTGACAGAACTATACCACCTAGTCGGAGATTAAGAAGAAACCACGCTGATGTACAATATGATAACCCCTATGCCAAAGCAAGAGGATCAAATGGATGTAACATGATACTGAGATTAAGAAAAGCTGGAATCGGTTTCCACACGCGGCCTCTCAACCAACAGCCAGGAAAGTTCAACGTGAAAACTGATTCAGAATTCGTTGAACCTGGTTTCATTAGCGTGTATGCTTACGGTTGTGAGAAATATATTAACAAAAATGGTGTGAGAAATAAAGACAATCTGCCATTGAGACGAAGGAAAAGATCTGATGAATTCACCTTCGAACCGGGCTTAGAAACATCTTCAGAAGACGACAAAATGGATGCGAGATCATCTGATAATTGGGATATTGTTTACGAACCGAGCAATAATAGACTCAATTACGAAAGGAGCAAGTTATTCCGACCAGAGGACAATTTAGATGAAGTTGAAGATATTTCACGTGAAATGGAAGATATTTTTACGAAGGGTATCCGTACATTACTGACGACGTACATGAAGAAAGAACTACAACCAGCTATTAAAGACACTTTAATGAGAAACATGGGTTATGTTATATCATATGGTTAAATGCTCAGACAATACTCATTAGTGTAAATCCAGCTTAAATAATGTCAAAATAAATTTATACAGGTACTTTCCATTTTCATTTATTTGTCCTTATACTAAAGCTACATTTTTACATCATAATTTAACTACAATCTCAATGTTTTTAACAAATAAATATCTAGGTGTATAAAATTGAGGAATATAGCTAATATTAAAACACTAGTATACAGGCAGTAATAAGGTTGCATAGTCATAAGCAGATAGATTATAAAATTATATCGTTTTATATTTTATACATTTAAGAAACATTTAACTTTTAAGCATATGGAAAATTTCAATAGTTATTTTTTCATGATCAAAAACAAATAACAAACAAGAGCTACTATTTCTCATACATTAAATTTATTACATTATCAATTGACTAATGTTTTCTTTTTTAAATTATATATTAGATCAATAATATTATTATCCACTGAGAAATTTAGGTATATATAATAAAAACTAAAGTAAATTTTTCTATTTTTCAAATTAAGTAAAAGACCTATAATATTTATACACTAAGAATAAATAAAAGTAAATATTACACAGTCATAAGCCTATAGTTATTTATCACAGCAATCGCTAACAATGTAAGGCAGACCTTTAATTGATTTATATTCAAGATTCCTATGAATTAACATAATTACATTGATTTTATAATTCACATAACCTATCAACTCTGTATTCTTAATATAAAATATTTAATTTCATCATAAACAGCGAAATGTAAAGCCGACACAAATATAGCTTTCAATATGCTAGGTCCGTACCCTTTGTACAGTGCTAGAAAACCTTCATTAGTAATAGTCAATTTAATGCAATGGAGAGTTCCATTACAATACATTTGTCGTCCAAAAAATTCTCTATGCTGCTGAAAACCCTGTATTTGTAGTCTTTTCTTCACAACATCAAATGGATAAATTGCGGTTTTGGAAATCAGTCCAGCAATTCCCCCGGCTAATAAATTGGCTATCAGTGTAGATTCTATAACTGAACCAATGTTTTTTCTTCTTTGAAAGAATTCCAGTCCATTCAAAATATTCTCTGTAAACAATTTGTAAACTGTGAATTGTATTCCCGCGTGAGGTGCTATTTGTGCTAAAGTGGGTGCTAAACCTTTAAATAAAGCCGCAGATCCTTCAGTTTTAACAATATTTGTGAAAGCATTTATAAACCCCTTGTAAACTTTATTCGTTTTCTGTTCAGCTATTAATCTTGTTCTTACTGTGTCAAATGGAAATGAAAATAAAGTCGCAATGCTCGCAGCTATAGCCCCATTCGAAAAATTTATTGAATGTTTATAATTACTATAAAACTCTGAATCTACATGTCGATATATTTGAGTTAACTTTTCAAATGTTGCGAATTGAGCTATTCCATATGATATTGAAAGAAATTGAGCAGGTACATGCCCACTCCACAGAGTCAACACTCCTTCATCCTTCACGATTGATTTAACAGCTTGTTGTATTGAGCTATATTTAGATCCCTCCTGGATAGGTTCGAGCTGCAGTTGAAATCTTATCTTTAGAACGTCCAGCGGTTGTGCTATTGCTCTTGTTACCGCACTCGCTAGGCCACCGGCAACGGCACTTTGGGTTATACTTAGTTTAGACTCATTATGAATTAAATATACCATTTTATTTTATAGTTCATAAACACATCTTTTAACTTTTGCTCCCCGAACACTCAGCTGTTGAAATGTGAAACATTTACAAAAATAATAGAACTTATTTCTTTGCAATACAGTTGAAAGTTATTCTTAGGAGATTAATTTGGCAGTTGACACTTGACATTAAGTGTGAATTCCTTTTAGCTGGAATTTAATAAAGCGATATTACATATAATTTCTGAGTTAAATACTTTGAAAATGTAAATAAGCAGGAATAAATGATAAACAAATAATAATTTAAGTAATCATTTATTAAAATGATTTATTTAAAGGTTTTTATAGAGTGCAGTACATATTATATCATTTATGTTGACATAAATGATATATGTTCTGTATATGTACACAATGTCAAAAAGCCAATAAATGTCTTAGACTTAGCATTTAGTAACTTCAAACTTGTCAATCGTGATTCTATTCCACAACACAACTCTCAGTTCTCTCTCACCAAACATTAAAAAATATCTATTATTAAACAGCAATGTCTTCTCCACTTGAAAATCTCGAAACTCAACTAGAAATGTTTATTGAAAATGTTCGACAAATTCGTATAATCGTAAGCGATTTTCAACCACAGGGTCAAAGTGTACTTAATCAAAAAATGTAAGTGTAGACTGAGTCAAATTCTTTACTAAATCTTCTCTTAAACAATTAAGACACAAGAATATGTGAAGACAGTGTAGACAGTCATTAATATGATTCTTATTTTTTTTTGTCAGATAAAATACATTTTAGTATACAATAACGATAACAATTAATGATATCTAAAACTTTCGGGAGTATTCATTTAAATCAAAGTAATATTTACAGATGTACTATCTATTTCTTATTGTTTTAAACTACGTACTCCCGCCGTTTCGGTTTTTATTAGTTTTACTTACAATAATTATATTGCTACATTGAAAAGTAATATTATGAAATAAATTACATTTACAGTCAATCATTAGTTACTGGTCTGCAGGAAGTGGACAAATTGAAGGCTCAAGTACATGATATTCATGTGCCCACTGAGGTATTTGAGTAAGTATTGCTATACCAGCCAATGTAACTGATAGTTGGCAAAATAAAAATTTTCATTAATAAAAAATAATGACTACTTTGTACATAATAATGATTGATTTCAGCTACATTGACCAAGGCCGCAACCCTCAATTGTACACAAAAGATTGTATAGATAAAGCTTTGGCTAAAAACGAAGAAGTTAAGGGCAAGATTGACTCATACAAGAGATTCAAAAGCCATCTACTCTCCGAGTTGTCTAAAACCTTCCCTAATGAGATTGCCAAGTATAAAGCTATAAGGGGAGGTGAATAAATTAGGCTTTAGTATCTTATTACCTTATATTTTAGTATATGTTAGAATATATAGTGTTAGTATAAATGTGTAATTACTTCAATAGTTTTCGATTTATCAATGAGAAGCCATAGCAGTATGAAATTGTATCAAAATATATCACTTGTGATCTTGCAAAACAGACCTTCTATTCAAGTTAACAAAAAGTGACAATTAGTATTTCAAAACAATTAAAAAATAAAAATCTTTATGGTTCTTATTTATTTTGATGAATAATAAGCTAGAGAAAATATTTCATAATACAGATATTTATAAATCTTTGGTTGTTATAAGAAAAGTTACTGCCATGTTAAAATATTAAAAAAAACTGTTTGTACTGTTTTACCTATGTCTGAAAATGTACTTTTAAAAATTATTCGTTCAGCTTTTGTTAGTCTAAGGAGTTTTATAATACAAAAAATTATGAATGTAATCTTAATTGTAATTATTTAAGGATATTAAGGAATAAAAACTTGTGTTATTAAAAAAAATTGTTTATTTTAAAAAGTAGAAAATTTTTAGAACAAAACAATGAAAAAAGCTTAATGCAAAACAGCAATAGATAGAAATTAAAAAAGTAGATTTTATAGAATTTGGAAACACTTTCATTGCAAAAGTAGTTTCAATAGTGTTGAAAGTGAAAAATAAATTTGATTTAATTTTAAAAATAGATAACACGATTTTATATCATGGATAAACTAGAAAAAATCAATTTCAATTCAATTTTGAAAACAGTCTTTTTAATAAAATTTATAATTGATTTAAGAGTGCTTGTATTCACAACAAAACACGCGATATTAGATATTTCAAAATTGCTTATAAATAAAAAAAATTAATAAGAAGTAAAATTAATAAATCTATAATTTAAAAGCATTTAAGATTTCATATAATCAGATTAGCGATTTTTTATTAATTCATTGAATAAAATAGTTAAAATCTTTAATGTAAATCAAACTTCTAAAGAAGGATTATCAATCGTAAAGTTATTACACTTTTCTGATGTTTTGTTTTCTATAGGTAAAGTATTTACATCTTTGGAAACATCTTGAACTTCCGTTTCAGATTCTTCAGAACTACGTATTTCAAACGTCTCTGCGTCACTATCGCAATATATATCGAACACTGATTGTACATCCCTAGCTTGCTCCCATAATTGATAAAACTCCCTCTTCACCGGGTCAACCAATTGCTGCTTACTAGTGATGTAAACGTAATTCCAATGATCGAAAGAGCGATCGTTACCCCAGTTAAGTGTTCCCGTCATTAAAATCTTATCATCGACAAGGCAAAACTTATGTTGCATGGTAAACACTGGCTCTTTGGGCTTGCATTTTATTTCAGCGCCTGCAATTAGATTTAGTTAAAACATATTACCGTTAAAAAATAAAGAAAATAACAAATGACAGATTATTACACCTTACCGGCTTCGATTAGTTCTTTGAGAAAAAATTCAGTGGATTCATTGTAACCTGATCTATCTATTATAATTTGAACTTTTATTTTCTTGGTTTTTAGTAAGCTTACTAAACGTGCCTGTATGACAGGATTGTTTATGCCGGGCATACAAACGTTCACTGTGTATTTTGCGTCTTCAATAAAGCTGACTAGCTTATCAAATGAATTGTAAGCGTTAAACTGTAATTTGCAGAACACCATAACTTCATTTACCTCTTTGTTGCGACTTTTATAGTAAAATGCTGCCGCTGAGACAACACAAGTTATTGCAATTGCCGCAGCCGAAGATAAAACACGGGGATTTAATTTCATTTTAGGTAATATCGGACATTAAAAAATATTTATTTTCGGCACGTGTTATGACCGGTCTCTAATTTTATAGTTTACAATAAAACTAAGAGGTCATGTCGTGCAACTGCTACCTATCTCTTACAATTACATTGTTCTAGAACTACCTTCACACATATATCAAAGCTGTTAAGAAATTGCTTTCTTATAAATAAAAATAAATTTTTGTCTTATTTGTAGTAAGTTTATATCTAATTTATAATTATTTACTAGATGTGATTTTTTACTGATATTTCTTTAATTAATCTCAGATCTATATATTAGAATGTGATAAAATCACATCATATACACGTATATTTTTTAAATTTAAAAACGAGCAAAAATTATGCATTATTATATAGTCTATTATGTAGTCATTTATTTTATATAAAAATTTAAACCCCTTTTGATGAACTCCGTTTGACTTTACAACGGCATATTTCTTCTCCTTAAGGAAATAAAATAAAACCTTTTAAGAAAATATATATTCACTCTTAAAATATTATGTATTGACATTCATGTAAAATATATTTTGAGATTGACATACGTATTTGATTATTATTTTGACATATGAGAAACCATGGCGCGAATATTGACAAGAGAGAAAATATTACTGTTTTTATGAATGAAAAAGTTGAATAAATAGAAGATTATGATTATAAGTGTAATAGGTTAAGTGTTAATACAATATTATTAACAAAGTGTCTTAAGTTTCGATAATGGGTATTACTGGCCTGATACCCTTTTTGGACAAAGCCTCTAGAAGAGCAAATGTTAGCGAATTCAGTGGTTCATCGGTTGCAATTGATACTTATTGCTGGCTTCATAAAGGAGCTTTTGCTTGCGCTGATAAACTAGTTCGGGGAGAAGAAACCGATATGCAAGTATAATAACTTTAATATATGTGAAATCCATTACATTACAAATTTACATATTACTAACAAAATTAAAAATTATTATAAAATTTTCAATATCACATTGAAATAAGTTGTATAATATTTTCCTAAAAAATATTTCTTATAATTGGAATTACATATTAAATATAGAAATCAGACATTTTAACACTTGCAACTTGTTGCAGACATATAAAATATTGCTTGAAATATGTAACGATGTTGCAATCAAGGAACATAAAACCAATTTTAGTTTTTGACGGAAGACATTTACCTGCCAAGGCAATGACTGAGCTGAAAAGAAGAGAGTAAGTGGGGTACATTGCTTCTGTGAACAAAGTTTATTTAAAAAACTAGCTTTCCGCCCGCAGCTTCGCCCGCGTGGAGTTCGGTTATATCGCGTTTCCAAGAGAACCTTTCAAAAGTCTGGGATAAAAACTATCCTATGTTCTTTCTCGAGATCAACTGTATCTCTGTACCAAATTTCATAAAAATCAGTTCTGTGGTTAAGGCGTGAAAGCGTAACAGACAGACAGAGTTACTATCGCATTTATAATATTACTATGGATTGTAATGCTTTTAAAATATCACTAAAATAAATTTCTGGTATACTAAATATATATTCAATTTATTTCAGAACCAGAGATATATCTAAGAAAAGAGCTGCAGAATTGCTTACTTTAGGGAAGGTAATATCTACAATTGGTCTATATTTATGCATAGTCATTAAATTGTTATATGCAGTACAAAAATTAATTTGCAGTTAAACAGTGAGTAAAATAAGACCATTAATTTTCAGATTGATGAAGCGAGATCCTTCATGCGTCGCAGTGTGGACATAACACATGCAATGGCGTTAGCTTTGATAAAGGAATGTAGGAAACGTAATGTAGACTGTATAGTAGCTCCTTACGAAGCTGATTCACAATTAGCATACTTAAACATCAAGAACTATGCTCAACTAGTTATAACTGAAGATTCAGATTTAATACTTTTTGGTTGCACAAAGGTGAAAATATATTAATTTTAGGTTCATTGTTTATTAATAGTCATATTAAAAGTCTTTATATATATTTTTTGATAATGTAATTTTTTTTTAGGTCCTGTTCAAAATGGATTTAGAGGGTAATGGAACGTTGGTAGAAACAATCAAACTACCTCTAGTAATGAAATGTCCCATAGAACATTACACATTTGATAAATTCAGAAGAATGTGTATATTGTCAGGATGTGATTATTTGAACTCATTACCGGGTATCGGTTTGGCTAAAGCCCGTCAGTTTGTTAATGCTTCACAGGATACAAATTTTGCTAATGTAATTATATTATGTTAATCAAACAAAGGCTTAGTTTATCTTAATGCTAAATGTTGTAGTAATTCCAGTATAATTTGCCTTGAAAACAGAAAAAAACATCTGAAAAATATCAGAAACTAAAAAATCATTATAATATATTTCGACTACAATTTGTCTTGATTTTATACCAGAAACTAGTATTTTATATGAATTTAATCAAATGAATTTTCTTATTCCAGGCTCTAAAGAAGTTGCCAAGTTTTTTCAACAGATCGTTGCAAGTGAGTGATGATTATAGAGAGAATTTCCTCAAAGCCGAAGCAACATTCAAACACCAATATGTGTATGACCCTTCAGAGAGATGTATGACACGACTAACACCTGTTGATGATGAAGGTAGATTGATGAATTGAGAAATTCTTAATAACTGAGTCTTATAATGTTCAATTATTCATACCTAAACTATACAACTTATGTTCATGCTGAAATTTTAAGTTTTTCAGTCTTAACATGTTCAAAAATTCATTCCTAAGTTATTCAACTTATAAATATGCTGTTGGAGTAAAGAGTTTTATACAAAAATAATTTCTTTTATAGTTCCTGTTCTATTTAAAGAGTATAAAATTTGTATCTCGTGAATTTCATCTATTTGAATCTCTGAAGCATATTTATATTTGATTATGGACTGATAAATTATGTTACTGAATAAGAATTTAATATTCTACAATTACTACAATTTTGTTTGTATTTGCTTTGTATTTGAAACTAGCTTTCCGCCCGCAGCTTCGCCGGCGTGGAGTTCGGTTATATCGCGTTTCCAAGAGAACCTTTCAAAAGTCTGGGATAAAAACTATTCTATGTTCTTTCTCAAGGTCAACTCTATCTCTGTACCAAATTTCATTAAAATTAGTTCAATGGTTTAGGCGTGAAATCGTAACAGACAGACAGACAAAGCTACTTTCGCATTTATAATATTGGTAGGGATTAGTAATATCTTATGTTTTGAACTATAATTTACAGAAATTGAAGCAGCCTTGTGTTCTAATGCTGGAGAGCTTTTGGATCCTCAAACGGCTTTCCAACTAGCTTTGGGTAACTTAGACCCTTTCACATTGAAGAAAATGGATAATTGGGATCCAGATAATAGAAATGATGTGGTAAATTGTCTTATTTATATATAATATGAAACTAAGGTAAACAACATACAAATTAAGATCATTTTTTCTATTACAAATAAATACAAACTTATATGTTAAGTCTGTGGTGGCCTAGTAGTTAAAAGGCCCGCCTCTCATGCATGAGGGCGCGGGTTCGATCCTGGGAAGTACCAATGTGATTTTTCCAAGTCATATGTACTATCACTTTACACATCACTAATTAAAGAATGTCCAAAAAGGGTTAATGTCAGGCAGGCGGCCGGTCGTAAAAACAATTAGCCAAAACTATTCACAACATGTAAGGCAGGCCCTGACTAGAGCTGAGAAATTGCCAGGGAGAAGATAGATTTATATATATATATAAAAGAAAGTCGTGTTAGTCACACTATTTATAACTCAAGAACGGCTGTATGGATTTCGCTGAAAATTTGTAGGTATGTAGTTGAATCAGGAGATGGACATAGGATACTTTAGAATTAATTTAACCAAAAAAAATAGTCTGTAATATATTCCAAGATTTGTTTATTTACTGCTTCTATATCAAAACAGTGCACCTGGCCAGCTATACATTTCAAATTATGTAATTAACGCGGACAAATTCTCGGGCAATAGCTAGTATATACTCCTGTACGTACGTACTCTTGTACGCGGTAGAGGTAGGAGCGAGAGGTATAACAGCTAAATCTCTCTATAACCTACTAAAAGACTTGGGCCTGTCCAGAACTAACATTAATTCATTCTTTGAACGTACGTCGAAGGCAGCCCTAGTAGGTTCTTTTCAAATTTGGTTAGGTAGGGAGAGGAGCTTGGACAGTGGAGGCGAGCGTATAACGCGCGTTAGTTAAGGGGCCCCTTAAACCTACACCTGGGTCGCAATTCCCAGGCACTGTTGAAGCTCCTCTCCCTGCAACGATGGACCTGGCACCCACACGGTGAATCCATTGAATACTAAGAGGTTTCGTCTCTCTTAATATATTAATTGTTCTTTACACAGACAGATCATGTAAGGAGTTCAAATTGGAAGGATCCAGGTGTATCAAATAAGCCAAGTATATGGAGTGAGGCTTACAAGGAATATTTAGATGAAACTCAACCTTGGCTGAAGAAGATTCAGAAACAGGAACCAATAATATCAACACAGACACGAGCAAGGAAAAAAGTGGTCACTTTAACAACTAAATATGTACCAGAGACACAGGATGATAGGTAATAATTATATATATAGTGTAAATAATTATATATACAGTCAGTGGTGGCTCAGTGGTTAAAGGGTCCGCCTCTCGTTGCTGAGGGCGCGGGTTCAAACCTGGCAAGTACCAATGTGATTTTTCGGAGTCATATGTACTTTCTGAGAGTATTTAGACACCACTGACATACGGTGAAGGAAAACATCGTGAGGAAACCTGGACTTATAGTTTCACAATTATAAGTTTGAAATCACCAACCCGTCTTGAGCAAGCGTGGTGATTAATGCTCAAACCTTCTCCACGTGAGAAAGAGGCCTTGCTCAGCAGTGGGCGTTGATAGGCTGATGATGATGATGATAGTGTAAATCAGTCTAACTGATAATTAATATAATTATCCATAGTCTTTATATACTTTTTTTTACAAATAATGTGAATTCTGTAAACATATATACTGATATGTCTAAGATAATAACAATATCAAGGACATAATTATTCTATATAATAGTTCTTTATGATTTTCAAAAGTTGTATGTCTTTATGGAGTTAATTTTATCCACATTCTTTGTGTAAAATATTTTTTTATGTTTAGAGTTTATTTAAATTTGTAAAGAAAATATTTAGGATTTTGTGTTCCTAAGACTTTTCAATCAATATAAAGAATTTTTAATTTCTTGAGTCAAATGTTTTTGCAACATTTTTGTTTAGATTGATACTATAACAGTATTAAGCTTTCTTTTTTTATTTTAATTATATTTATTTGTTCTTGCTACAAGTAATGAAATTCATTTATCAAAATAAGAAAATCATTCCAAAGATTTTTCAATCCATAATTTTATTTTCAGTTTATCAATAGAGACACTCAGCAACATGTACTGTATGGAACCGGCTAGCAAGAAACAGAAAATTGAACAAAATAAAAATAATACTAATATAAATGATAACAGAAATAATTTAAATCTTAATCAAAAATCACCCATACTGGAGAACAAAGGCCGATCATTCAAGAAATCTCTAAGTTCGGGTAGTTTTTCTGTTTTGAAGAAATTGAGTGCTTTCCCAAGAACCATTCTAGATGACAAAATCATTGAAAGCAAATTCTTCACTTCAAACGAAAAAGAATCCAATGTTTCGTGTAATAGAGTTGAAAATCAGACGATAATACAGGAATCACCAGAAAAAGATTTAGATATTGCTATGATAGATACATGCACGGATTCAAGCTCACAGAAAGAGAATTCTCTTAGTCCGATAAAGAAAAGTCCTATATTAGAGAGCCCTAGAACAAGGAATCCGTTCAAGTTAAAAGACTCTCAATCATTAAAAGATTCTCAATCAACGAATGATACAGGGTTCAGTGAATCCGTCATAGAAAATACATGTCCTATTGACTTAGAGGTGAGGTTCTGTACGATATATATATATATATATATATATATATATATATATATAGTAGAAACTCGATTAACCGGACTAATTGTTGTCGATAGGCATTCGGATAATCGAATGTATGAAGAAAAGTCGGTTTTGTGCATATGTAGTACATAATATTATTTAATAATTTACAATATGTATTAGGTAATTTGCAATTGGTAACCATGAATTAAAATACATAATAAGTTCAATTTGCTTTAAATATTTGGTAATTGTCATTTGACGTACGCCACTCTCAACAACACCACTCTCTTACGCTTTGACATATTTTCTTGTCCCGACTTGTCCGTAGTCCGGATAATCGCGAATCCGTATAACTGAGGGCCGGATAATCGAGTTTCTACATATTATAATTATTATTTTTATTATTTTGGATCATTATAAATAAGGCGGCCAACTTTCCGAAAACTGAATGCGGGACTTAACATTTCGTGAATGGCGGGGGGGGGGGGGGGGGGGGGTTAGGGATTGGGAATGTCATGAAAATCTTCGCAACTGCCCATATTAAATTCAAGTACTCTCTTACGCGTCATGAGTTCAGAAGAAAGAAAGGAAACGAGATTATCGCGGGCGCGATACGCTTGTCCCTATTATAGGTAATCTGTGTTCCTGCACTGTTGACCGTGGTATGGGTGTTGTGTAGAAGTGTGGTAGAAAAATAGGGATGCGGGACATGCGGGACGCATACAACGTTTTGCGGGACTATTTTACTAATAATTTCAAAGCGGGACTTCGTCTAGAATTGCGGGACGGTCCCGCAGAATGCGGGACGGTTGGCCGCCTTAATTATAAATATGTACCAATATCAGGATTTTGAAACACACTAAACACAGTTTTGAGTCTTTCATTTCTTATTTAAGAAATAATTACTATATACAAATCTACAGTCGATCAATGTATATACTCAATAATTAATTATTATGTTAAATATATCTATAGATATATAGCTATAAAATAATAGATACATATATAATTAGTTACCATTTATTTTTTCAGCCACCCATATGTACGTCGCCCGTCAAGCCCGCTGTTCCTCTAGATAAGTTTAAGTTCAATCAAAATATAAAGAAGTCTAAAGCGCCCGCTAAGAAACTTCAAAGTTCTCAACCAACTATCTTGAGTATGTTCGGCTTTCAGAAGAAGTGAGTAGTGATATTGATTATTTTGTAAATTAACTATCCAACATATGTATAAAAGAGTTAGAAATAATGATATGAATACTGATGCAATCAAGATTCTATAAAATAATAGTGCTGTTTTAAAATATTTAATAAAGAAGTGAAACTTCTTAATGTGGAAATGAAAGTAAGAAAGAGTAGGAAGTTTATTTTGAAGAAATTTCTAGTGTTTTTTTAAAACAAAATTCTGTCGTTCTGTCTCTTTTTATCCCCCCTCCCCAGGAAACAATTTAACGCAACCTGATTGGAAGTCGCATAAGAAGTTTCATTTTAAAAATGCGCTGATGAATAGTTGTTATATATGTTGTAGCCAATTACCAAGAATGTAAACGCCTCATATAAACTATTAGCTATGACGCGAGAACGCGGGACTCGGTCAAGATCATCAGTGCGTAACGAAGCATTGAACGTGCAACATCCATATGTGTAATCTATATATAATAAACAGCATTAAGTCAGTCTTCGTTTACTTGTAACCTGCGCACTCATTTTGGTGACCCCGACGTGATCAACTTCGAATTGGAACGGACTCGCAGCCAAACTGTTGTTACGTCATCACGAAAATATCACGGGCGGAGCTATCCTTCGAGAATTCGCCAGCAGCCAGCTGCAGCCACTGTTTCCGAGGGAAGTGCATCCATCCTTTCTACTTATACATATATCCTTTTTGCTTCAACTCGCGTGAGTAAAATTTATATGATAAATTTATATGATAAATTTATTTTTCGCCCACCGTCAACTTTTTTATGATATCGGTACATAATATAAAATTCTTTGTTAATAAAATTATCCTTAAAATTGTTGTTTGTACAAATAGCTTGTGTTATATGGTGTTTCGCGGTTTATTTAATTCTTAACATCGTAGTTATTAACATCTGATTCGTTATATATACGTGAAGCGTTATAATATTTAAATATTGCACCGTCATTATGAGTGACGTAAAGGTACTTATCAAACAAAGGGGACATATTAAGGCTCGTGTAACATTGTTTGAAAAATATTTAAAACCTTTGTTAGAGTGTAAAGAAATTAGTTTAGTACAGGTGAATGAATTGCGCTTGCGCTTAAGCAAGATACGTGATTTATCATGCACTTTTGATGATATTCAATCGCAGATTGAAATGTTGGATGAAGATACGTCAAAACAAATGCAAGAACGCGAATTTAATGAAAATATATTTTTTCGTTTATCGGCCGAAGCTCAGTCATTAATCGATTTTTTCGAAAATAAAAATAAATTAGAATCTTCATCTAACAAAAGTCGTCCGGACTGTCATTTAAAATTGCCCCCAATTAAAATCACGCCCTTTAATGGTGAGGCGAACAAATGGTTGTCATTCAGGGATACATATGTGTCGTTAGTACATAACAATGAAACGATTCACGACGTTAACAAGTTTCACTACCTCAAGACGTACTTGGAAGGGCCGGCTAGCGCTGTCATAAACTCAGTCAGTGTCTCATCCGACAACTATAGCCTCGCATGGAAATTGTTATGCGAGAGATATGATAACAAACGTCTTTTGATAAATGAACACATAAAGTGCTTGTTTTCCATCGAATCTTTAACTAAGGAATCCCACAGTGGTTTACGTAACCTTATCGATACATTATCGAAAAACCTAAACGCCTTACATATTTTAGGTGAACCGACGGACAAATGGGATACGTTAATAATTTTTTTTGCTTCTGCCAAATTAGACAGTGTTACTTCTCGGAAGTGGGAAGAATATAGAAGTAATAAAGACGCGCCGACACTGGACGATTTTTATGATTTTCTTCGAAAGCGTTCTATGGTATTAGAAACAATGAATGTTAATAAACCCAGTAAAGTTGATAAACGCCTTAGTTTCTCCAACACAAAATCATTCCTTAGTTCTTCTATAGAATCACCTTCCCCCTCCGCGCAGTGCCTTCTCTGTAAACAGAATCATAAATTATACGAGTGTAACACATTCAAGTCACTACCAGTCTTTAATCGAATTAATAAACTAAAATTACTAAATGTATGCTCAAATTGTCTTCGCCAGGGGCATCAAGCCTATCAGTGCAGGATGGGTGGGTGTAGAATTTGTCACAAAAAACATAACACTTTAATACATAAACAAAATTCTATACAGCAATCATTTAAAATTCAAGAACAAAGTGATAATAATAGTAAAAACTTACCTACGCTATCACCTGCCGCCACGGTCGCTACCGATTCCGAAGTACCGAGTAGCTCTGCTTCGGTTTCCATGACTGCAATTTCTACCAATCAATCACTTCTCTCTACTGCTTTAGTCAAGGTGACGAGTAACGGTAAAACATGCATATTAAGAGCTTTACTAGATTGTGGCAGTCAGTCTTCTTTCGTGACTGTCAGGGCTCTAAGGGAAACAGGTTCGCAACATTTTGATTCTGATAACCATAGCGTATCAGGTATAGGAAGTAGTGTCTTCAATGTCACAAAACATTGCTATTTAGATATAGGGTCGTTAAACAGTTCGTTAGTTATGCGTGTTAAATGTTTTGTGTTACCTCACATCACTGATAGATTACCCAACGTTGCAGTAAACGTACAACATTTGGACATTCCGTGTCATGTCCAACTTGCCGATCCAAAGTTCTTTGAACCTTCCGATATTGATCTTTTATTGGGTGCTGATGTATTTTGGGACTTGTTGGAATCAAGCAGGATAAATTTAGGACCTCAAGGCCCAATCTTGCAAGAAACGAAGCTGGGATGGATAGTAGCGGGTCCAACTGCTATTCATAGTAACAGTAAGAATCGTAAATCATTTTGTCATTTTTCATTGGATATAAGCCAGCAGCTTCGTAAATTCTGGGAACTCGAAGAGGTGCCTTCTAATGTCGAATCTCTTACCAATGATTATTGCGAAAACTTATTTAAAAATACCACTTCTCGAGATGCTCACGGTAGATTTTGTGTTCAAATTCCTCTTAAAGAATCTACTCAGTGCTTGGGTGATTCTTACAATATAGCCGAAAAACGCTTGTTGCAATTAGAAAGGAAATTTAAGACTAAACCAGCTCTTAAACAAAAATATCTTGAATTCATTCACGAATATGAACAGTTAGGTCATATGACCGAAGTTCCTCGACCAGCATTTGGATGCTACTTGCCCCATCACGCTGTCATTCGAGAGTCTAGCGAGACTACTAAGCTTCGTGTCGTATTCGATGCCTCTTCAAAGACATCTTCTGGTGTCTCGTTCAATGATGTACAATATATCGGACCTGTAGTACAGGTTTTTGATTTACTTTCAATTCTTTTACGATATCGGCAGCATCGATATGTTGTATCAGCAGACGTCGAAAAGATGAATCGTCAAATACTAGTTGTTCCAAAGCAAAAACATTTACAATTAATTCTGTGGCGCGATGAACCCACACATAAAATTAAAATAGGTCATCATCAATATGACCATATGTCTCACTCGACAGTTTTGGGTCTGAATTGGGATCCATCGAGAGACGTATCGCAATTTTCAGCTAAGTTGCAACTTGATCAAGTTGCCACAAAACGGACAGTCTTGTCCAACTCAGCAAAGCTTTTGATCCGCTGGGATTACTCAGCCTATGCACCATCATCCCTAAAATAATTTTACAGAGGCTGTGGCTATCGAAAATGTACTTGGGATGATCCAGTGGATAAATCTATATTCAAACAATGGACAGACTTTGCGTCGAACTTAGCTTCAATATCCAATTTTCAAATACCTAGGTGCGTTCTTTTACCGCAAGCAATTCGAATTGAGCTTCAGGCTTTCTGATGCCTCTCAGCTAGCATATGCGTCTGCCGTTTATGTCCGATCATTTTCATTTAAAACCTTTATATTTTCATTTAAAACTTTTACAAAGTTGGGGACTTTTATTAAATGACATCAGAAATAATTTTGGCCTTTAAGAGGCAGAAACTTGCCGTCAAATAGAGTTATTCCAAATCAGCCATTTCACGCCATGGAGTCGACTTCAGTGGCCCATTTAATATCACTGACCGCAAAGGTCGCGGTTGCCGGATTACGAAGTGCTATATGTGTTTGTTTATTTGCTTTAGTACAAAGGCCGTGCATCTTGAGGTAGCTAGCGACTTGACGGCTGATTGTTTCATTTTGTGTCTGCGACGCTTTGTAGCTCGTCGCGGTAAACCATTAGAAATATATTGCGATAATGGTATCAATTTTGTTGGAGCAAATAACTTTCTAACCAACCTCTCAAAAAACAATGAAGATATTATAGGTTTTGCCGCTGAGCAAGGCATAAAATTTAACTTTTCTCCCCCCTTCTCCCCTCACTTTGGGGGTCTTTGGGAAGCAGGCATTAAGGCTGCAAAACACCACATAATACGTATATTAGGCGATAAATATTTCACATTTGAAGAACTATCGAATTTATTCTCGCAAGTTGAAGCAATCCTTAATTCCAGGCCCTTAACTCCTCTTTCATCGGATCCCACTGACCTAGATCCCTTGACTCCTGCGCACTTTCTGATCGGTAAACCATTAACAGCGCTGCCATCCGAAACCTTGATGAACTTCAATCCACATTGACTTAACCGATACCAACTTCTGGAAAGGATGCGACAACATTTTTGGGATCGCTGGCAGCACGAATATCTCTGCGAATTGCAGCAGAAGTCTAAGTGGAGAGTCGAGCGAAAAGGATTCCAGGAAGGCGATCTGGTCATCATAAAGGAAGCGAACCTACCACCTCTTAAGTGGCGAATGGCACGAATCCAAAAACTTTATCCAGGATCCGATGGAATTGCTAGAGTCGCCGATGTCCTCACCTCCAAGGGAGTCGTCCGTGGAGCTATACACAACCTCTGTTCTTTAGAAAATTCAAGGGACGTCACTCGAACATCGAAGGATTTCGAGGGGGGGGAAGATGTTGGAGCCAATTACCAAGAATGTAAACGCCTCATATAAACTATTAGCTATGACGCGAGAACGCGGGACTCGGTCAAGATCATCAGTGCGTAACGAAGCATTGAACGTGCAACATCCATATGTGTAATCTATATATAATAAATAGCATTAAGTCAGTCTTCGTTTACTTGTAACCTGCGCACTCAATATATTTTACATAAACAATATTGTTTTGTTCTAACTTGCTTTTGCATCATCTTTAGTTGGAAATTAAGTACATTAGTAAAAAATTGAAAAACGTATCCTATATGTATATCTCTTGCCTAGGAAGTTACAAAAACTATTTAGTTTTAGATTTCAATATAGGGAAAAGAATTTTAAACCCTGGCTGAGATGTATGAATAGAATTGTTTCGTAAGCTCGTATTGTTTAAACCGCAGTATTATTTTTAAATACGTCAATGAGATTTTTTTTTTTAAATTCTGTTTTCATGTGTGTTTGTTTGTTACAGGCCAGTATTAAAAAGGTGATCCGAGGAATAAAAATAAAAGTAGCATAAGTGACACAAGTATTATTTGACGCAGCGTTTTTTTTTTGACATTCTATTTTCAAACATTTTGTTGTAAAATTATTGATTATTTTATTTTCGGTTCGTGATCTGACTGGTTTATTGTTGATTTATAAGAAATGATTATGTTATAAGTACAATAAATATTTTCCAATTGATACATGTTTTTCATCTATACTCAATAGTGGATAAAATATAAATTAACATTAACAGCTTTTTAATATTCTGTCAGTGTGATTGTTTGGTAATCTCTACAAAGCCTGAAGCCGTTTTTAAGGTACTTTTAGTCGCAGGTAAGTAAAGTCATAAGAACTTAGCTCTTTAGCTAGAACCATTTTGGAAGGGAGGTAATTGATGATTCAAGTAAATCTTCATTACGCTATAACTCCTTAAATAAAAGTCTGATGTTCAAAATATTTTTAAACTAAAGGTCATTGCCCTGACGTAGTTCGATTATCACCAAGTAGCCTTCTGATGACAGACTGAGAAATTTATGAATTTTCATAAGCATGACTCGTATTTCAGAAGTCCTTTAATACGCGGGCAAAACCGCAGGCGACAAAATGTCTATTCTTAAAACTAAATAACATCGGTTGGAACAAAACTTCTTTTGAGTAAATGTAACATTTTATACATACACATACTTTTTTCATGCAATGGCTTCATTCGCACTAGATCGTGGAATATTTTGCCGATATTAATTTTTTTGTCGGACGAATTATAATCTTGAGTATTGAGTGGAGAAAACACGAATGAGTTTGTCGAATGGAATGAAGGTGTTAATTTTAATTATAACAATTTATTTTTAAAGAAGACCAGTTAAATTTTAACCTGCACATAGAACAACTAAAAATTTATAAATAATAATCCAAATACGTAGAATTATCATCATACATCCCTACTAATATTATAAATACGAAAGTAACTCTGTCTGTCTGTCTGTTACGCTTTTACCCTTAATCACTGAACTGACATTAATAAAATTTGGTATAGATATAGAGTTGACCTTGAGAAAGAACATAGGATAGTTTTTATCTCAGAGTTTTGAAAAGTTCTCTTGGAAATGCGATATAACCGAACTCCACGCGGGCAAAGCTGCGGGCGGAAAGCTAGTAGGCTTATAAATTTTTCTTCTACTTTAGTTAGTCGCGATTCCTTATATGTAGATTTCGCCAATATCGTGTGAAAATATTGTACTTGAACTATGTACAGAGGGATTTGTGAATGAAAAAGGTGACTTATAAATAAATGCCAAATTTATTATTATTAATAGAATGTGTCAGTTTGACAGTTTTTTTATGACAAAACAAAAAAGAGGTTCCCTTTTATTATTCGCTTCCGGACATTATGCGTACTTGTGACATTTGATGGATTAAGTATTTTATTACGCTTTAGAAGTAATATTTGTATGGGAGAGTTTATTGCGTATAATTGTTTTTTGTATCGAATACACAAGCATTATACGCGAAACCATATTGTCCGTTTCTATAATCAACCCTTTTCTGACCTACGATGTATGGATAACAAAGGCTATAGAAAATTAATCTGATAACGTCATGAGTATATCATAGCATTAACGAGGGTCCGCGTTGCATATTTATAGGGCGCGGGGAACTTAGCCATACAAAGATTTAGTGATACGATCTTTAATAATTATAATGAATTTCGGAATAGCCTCTGTGTAGCGGTCAGTAGAGTATAATAATCATATTGTAACGATAAGGTTGTTTTAAAAAGGTTTTATATCATTTAAATCTCATTAAAATATAATCTTTTTTTTGAGATTTAATATTTCAATATAAATGGAATGTTATTTATTACTGCTTACTAAATTATGAAACTCTCCGTGACGTACATAATATATGAAATGGTATTTGGCTAATGAGAAACGTAATAACAGACACATTTAGGAGCGATGAGTGACAAAACATATATTTGTATTTTTACATATAATTTTCTCTACAAGTGTTTCTCAATGTGAGAAAGAGGCCTTTGCTCAGCAGTGGACTCTGATAGGCTGAAGACGACGTTTCTTTTTTAATTTGAAATTTAGATCTCAATTTTGATTATTCCATTCCTTCTCATATTATTAATAAATAACGAAACATTAAAAGAGAAACAAAAACAATCTTAACAAGAATTTTTTTGCAGATTGCAATTTCATCAGCTAGCGATGCGCAACGTTTCTTTTTTTAGAAATTTGAGTTTTTGTTGACTTTCGAGCCAATTTTTTTTACTTTTCCATTACCTCGTTTGCCCCGAGCAGTAAAATTAAAAGTTCGGGATTAGTTCCACAGAAACTTTTGGTTTCAGTATCTGACCTTTCGAAATTTCATTAACTATGTTTCAAATAAGATTATAAGGTACAACACTATGTGAACATTCCACAAATTATTTGAATTTTTTTGATCCTTATGAGAAATGAATACTTTATAACTATTAAATTACCTACATTATTGATAAAATTAAGTTACGTGGCTACAATTTAATAAATAACTTAATACCTTTTCGATTTGTCACTTTTAACAATGTATTCCATCAATATCAAAACCACACTGAAATTGTAAGCCATTGTAAAGTGCTTTGGTTAATTTGAATATTTTCCACTTAGCGCGTAATTAAGTATTTCCACAGAATATAAAAAAACTAGTTTTAATACATTATGGTTTAATATTTTACGTTCGACACTTTTATTAATAATATTACTTTTATTAATTAGTTGTTACACTGAGTCTAAAATTGTTATTCGACCTGATTTTATTACCGTCTTGAGTCTTGTCGTAAATTATTTCGAGATTTTGCTAGTTGAAATGTTAATTTAATTATATCTTAAGCATATTAAGTCGGGGGTAAATTTTAATAAGGTATAATATATTAATGTAATTATATTAAAACACGTCAGCAATTTACTTCTACTGTTACAGAATTAAAACTTTGGTTGTCTGTAATAGACGTCAGGTTAAGTGTAAATGAAAACAGTATAACGTTTCAAGGTTAAAGGTCAAATTATTAAAAAGAAAAGTTATTTTCATTTGTCTTGCAGTTTTTGGTATACTAATTCAATTATCATAAGTAAACCTGCTTATTCCTAATGCCACTATGACCACAATTTTTGGTCTTCTTTCAAGTATACCCCTTTCAGTTTATAAAACTTACTTGAGAATTGCTACAATTGGACAAATTAAACATTTATAATAGGAAGTGTACAGAAAAAAGTTCTGATTTTTTATTACTCTGAATATTTAATTAGACAGCATTTCTCTTGGTTATAAAATGTTTTGTTTTTTCTTCGTTTTCTTTGTTGGGTGTGTAAACATTAGAGTACCTTTTACAACGTTAAATTCTAAGTAGTAGAACTTTTGATTTTTTTTTAATACGAGAAATATTTTTTAAGTTTCCATATTATAATAATTAAAGAAATTCTGTTAATCGTAACACGTCGCACAATACATAGTTTAAACGACTCTAAATAAACTTCGGTAGGTTATAGGAAATGAAGTAGGATATTTTCTAAATTACAATAAAAATAAAAATAACCAAGTAAAAATATGTTTTACATATAAAAATTTTAATATAAAAATATGTACGTGTCCTATAATATATGTCCGTGTTCTTCCTACTTACTGACTGACAAACATACATATCAAATTACATATTTCTTCTAAGATAAGATATATCAAATTACATATTTCTTCTAAGATAAGACATACTTTTCTTTATTTATTTCCAAAATCATATCAAATAATAAATCAGGGTTGACGAAACAACTTGGCAAATTTTTATTACTTTATTTTTTAAATATATTTAATGTTTCTTAACTTGAAGAGCCTTATTTCGGAACAGTAATTCTATTTCGTATTAAAGAAATCGTAGTTTAAACATAAGTACCTGATGTAATTTCTCATTTTATGATACATTTTAGTATTTTGTACATAAATTATAAAATAACCATTTTTTAATCAGAGAAAATGACTATGCTGTAATCTTTTATGTCGAAGCCATACTTACACTTAGCTTCAGGCAATCCTGAATTTATTATATGCAATGAATATATTATCAGCCGTCACGGGCTTGTATCGACAAAGTAGTCTTAGTACTATGTGAAGATATGTGGCACATACGATGTATGATGTACGAATACAGTTGAGTTTTACGGTTTCAACTTGTGGTGTAAGTATTACATTAGTTAAACATTCCCTTTTAATACAAAAGTATACGAGAATTTCTGGACTTACCTGTAAATACGTGTTAGTCTTTCTCATAAAAAATATTTAGAGGTATACTTCGAGATTATATTATTGCAACTTTTATAGAGTTGTAAAGAAATATCAGGTCTATTTTTTATTACAGAATCTGAGCCGCGAGTGTCATTGTAATTAGTATAAATCGTATCACGATGTACCTACGAGTACGTGTCGTGAACTTCCCGCCATCCTATAAATATGCAATACACTGACCCTCGTTCGATAACATATTATACTTGTGACGTTTT